GGTCGGCAGTAGAAGGAGCAAACCCAAGAGCCGCAAGTGTAGTCCTCAGTGTGTCGTGCCACTCACGTGGCGCCTGGCGGAGACCGTAGACTGGACGCCGGAGACTCCACTGGGTACCAGGAGGGAAAGACCCAGTGAAGCCAGGTGGGCGGCGCAGCCAGATCTCCTCGTGCAGGCTGCCCTGCAAGAAAGCTGTGTTGAAGTCGAGAGAGTGCAGCTCGTAGTCACGGTGAGCAGCAACGTGCAGCAGTACCCAAAGAGTGGTCATCTTTGGGGTGAGGGAGAAGGTCTGAAAGTAGTCAACTCCCTGCTGCTGACTCAAACCACGAGCCACGTACCGCGCCTTGAAGACAGGCGGAGAACCCGGCGGCCGCTTCACCCTGAAGATCCACATGCCACTGACGATATTCGCCCCAGGAGGGGGGACAGCGTCAACGTAGGTGCCTGTGCACTTCCAGGAAGCCATCTCTGCATCCATAGCTGCCTGCCACTAACAGGAGTAGGGACCCTCTATCGCCTCCGCGTAAGAGCGCGGAGTCGGGATGTCAAGTGCATCCGGGTCCCCCTCAGGGGTAAGCAGTACGGACACGAGATGAGGTGAAGCAGCTGCCAGACACTGGAACTCCTCCTGCCTGTCCTCAAGGACGTCCGTGCCAAGAGCACACTCACCCCCGACGGACGGAGGACAGACAGACTTAGACTCAGCGACAAGACAAGTAGCGTAGTCTAGGCGACAGCGTGCAGCAAAGTCGACGAGCTCAGCAACGAGGGCAGACGCTGCAGAAGACTCGAAGGAAGGGTCAGTGACGACAGTAGCAAGGAGACGCATGACAGTAGGACTGACAGCACGAAGAGAGTCTGACTCAGGGTCGGCAAGAGCAGGAAGAGAGGCTCAGCACCCCCAGGCTCAGTACTCCCAGGCTCAGCACCCCCAGGCTCAGCACCCCCAGGCTCAGCACCCCCAGGCTCAGCACCCCTAGGCACAGTACCCCCAGGCTCAGCACCCCCAGTCTCAACACCTACAGCAGCACCAGAGTCACCAGTGACCTCGACAGGCTCGACTGCGTCTACCTGGGACACACCTGAAGGGGCAGGACCCTGAGGGGGGAGGGGGTCGGCCGGGGGGGGACCTGGTACAAGGAAGAGCGGGGACGGGGGGAGGGACGGAGTGCGGTAGGGGAAGAGGCGGTAGTAGGGGACCGACTCGTCGAACGTGACGTCCTGGGAGGACAGTACACGGCGAGAGGTGGGGTGGTAGAACTGCCACCCAGGCGCGTCAGGGGGGAACCCCAGGAAGATGCAAGGAGCAGCGCGAGGGGACAGCTTGTCCGCAGACAAGTTGCGGACAAACGCCCGAGATCCCCAGACCCGGAACGCCGACGCATCGCCAACCTTCCCCGTCCACAGCAGGGCTGGGGAGGTCTCCGGCCTGGAGACCCTGGGGTGAAGGTTGATCTGATGCGCCGCGTACCTGACCGCAAACGGCCACAGAAAATGGGGGGCAGCCGCATGCATCATAGACGTACGAGCGACGTCCATGACCATGCCGATGCGGCGCTCAGCAATCCCATTTTGCTGCGGAGAGTCCGGAAGCGTGAAGGTCTGACGGATGCCTCGCGCACGACAGTAGGCACGCAGAAGGTCAGAGGAGAACTCTCCGCCTCTGTCCGAGTGCAGACGCAAAACAGGAAAGTCCGAGCCAAAGCTTTGCCTGAGCTGGAGACGAGCTGCGCGGATCCAATCGATCAGCACCTCAGTGACATCACCCTTGCTGCGCAAGGGGAAGACTGTCGTGTAACGCGAGTAGTCGTCAACAACGAGCACGAAATAGCGCTCGTGACCCTGTCCACGGACGCGGGCTGGGCCCCACACGTCCATGTGAAGCGTCTGCAACGGGGCCTCTGTCGGAGGAAACTGGGAGGAGTGAGGGGCAGCACGCTGGCGCCCCTCGACACAGGGGACACAGGCAGGGCCAGGGCCCTAAGGATGGGGAGGGAGGGACCGGGGGAGACCAGACACAAGAAGACGGGAGGCCATGCCTCCAAGCCGAAGCAGAGAGGGGTGACCAAGGCAGTGGTGCCAGAGGAGAGTCTCGTGAGACAGGAGACGACACGAACAGGGAGCAGACTCAGGACCAAACCTGGACGCTGCAGCAAACACCTGACCCGACGCAGCTACCCGACCAGACTCAGCAACGGGAGGGGACGCAGTGGTCAGTGTGTACAGGCTCGACCCTGGCTGACGGGTTAACGTAGCCAGGTGTCGGCCTTTGCTAGCCTCTGTGCAGTGCGTCACTCGCTGACGCGCAGGAGTGAACTGGTGGACACCCGCATTCTGTAGGTCAGCACCACTCACCAGGTTCGTAGAGAACGAGGGGAGGTAGAGACCAGACAGGGTGCCAGAGGGAGCCGCCGGACACGGGAGGACTGTCGAGAAGCGAGACAGGACAAGACCCCCAGAGGGGTCAGCCAGGGACACCGCAACCGGCCGACTAAGGGGCGTGAGTGTGGTGCGGTCCCGAAAGAAAGAGCGAGACGCTCCAGAGTCAAGGGTGAAGGTGAGGGAGGCCGAAGCCGACGTAGTACCTGAGAGCGCAGACTCACCAGTACCTGAGAGCGCAGACGCACTAGCACCTAGAACACCAGCCTCACCTGAACCTAGAGCAGCAGTACCAATGCCCGGGTCGGGCGGGAAACACCGGTAATAGTCACCCTCATCACTAATAGTCACAGCATACATGGCAGCAAGGATAGCATCAAAGTCAAGATCATAGATAGCTACGCCTGCCCTAGACAGCTTTCCCCAGCGGGGGATCTCACTGGCCTCAGGAAACTGCTGACGCCAAGCGTCCGTCAGGCGGCCAAAGCAGCGCAGGGTGGGGTGGGCACCCCCACACTTCTCACCCGCGCGGTCGCCGGTGCGAAGGACGTAGGTGCAGGGACCAAAAACCCCCACCACGCTGACGCTGCGTGTACCACTCACGGAGCTGCTGAGGGGGGGGGATGTCACGAGAGCGCTGCTGCTGCTGCTGCTGCTGGTGCTGGCGCTGGCCACCACCAGTGCTGCTCCGCTGCGAAGCGCCACCCCGACCACCTCCACCACCTCCACCAATGCCTCCGCCACTACCACCGCCGCCTCCGCCGCCTTTGCCAGTACCTCCGCCGCCTCCGCCGCCTCCGCCTCCACTGCTGCCACCGACACCTCCACCCCCGCCACCACTCCCACCGCCACCCCCACTCCCCCCGCCGCCTCCACCTCCACCTCCACCGCCCCCACTAGCTCCACCCGCACCCTTGCCCCCCTTGCCCTTGCCAGGGCGGCGTCTCACGCTAGGGGCAGACGCCGCACCGACCGACTCAAGACCAACGAGGTCGGCCGCAGCGGCAGAGGCGACAGAGGGCAAAAGGGGGGAAGGAGAACACCCCTCAAAGATGGGGGTGCGAGGGTCACCACGAGAGGCCCCTACAGCGACTATGCTCTTCTCGGCCGCTAGGAGGGACTTCTCGAGGAGGTCTACAGTGAGAGTGGTGGGACAGACCGAGAGGAAGTGGTCCCTAACTACTCGAAGGGAGTCAGGGAGACGAGTGACTATGAAGTAGAGAGTGATGTACATGGGGGAGGGTTCTTGGCGCAGAAGTCAGCAGGAAGCGCAACGCGGTAGCGAGTGTCACTATTGCGGAGGTGCGTAATGAGGTCAGCGACTGTGGGAAAGGCAGCAAGGTCAGGGAAGAGGTACGGTAGCATGAGGCGGCTAAGTGCAGCTGTGGCAGGGGAGGAGTAGCGCGCAACTACAGCGTCGTACAAGGTCTGAGCACTCTTGTACTGACTAAAGTGCGCACGCTCAGAGGTAGGGAGGTGGCGACGCAGAGCAAGACGTGCAGCAGCATCGCGTGTGGCCCACTTGGAGCGAACAGTGGGGTCAGCATCAGCAGCAGGGGCAGGGACGGCGCCAGAGGTAAGGTCAAAGAGAGAAAGGTCGTCTACCCTATCGCACTGCAAGAACAGCTGCAGGTCGTCGACCCAGACCTCAAAGTCAATGGCACGACCCTCAGCGTCAAAAGCTAGGACACTAGGGGTAGCCATGACAGTAGTGGACAGAGGTGTCGTGCTCACCAGACAGGGCTGTGCGGGCAGCTCAGCAGCACAGCAACACGGCACCACTGCTGCTCGGCCGGTCCAGCAGCAACAGCAGCTCCGCAGAACCAGCGGCTCGGCTCCTCAGGCGGCTCAGGCGACTCGGGCGGCTTGGGCGGTTCGGGCGGCTCGGGCGGCTCGGGCGGCGCGGGCGGCTCGGGCGGCTCGGGCGGCTCGGGTGGCTCAGGCGGCGCGGGCGGCTCGGGTTCCCAGCAGCACAGGCGGCTTGGGCGGCTCGGGTCCTCAGCGGCTTAGGCGGGACGGGCGGAGCAGGCGGTGCAGGGCGGCAGGGGCCGCGACGACGGGCGGCAGGGCCGCTACGACGGGCAACAGGGGCCGCGACGAAGGGCGGCAGGGGCCGCGATGTAGGGCAGGGCCGCGACGTAGGGCGGGGCCGCGACGTAGGGCGGGGCCGCGACTAAGGGCGGGGCCGCGATTAGGGGCGGGGTCGCGACTAAGGGCAAGGCCGCGACTAAGGGCAGGGCCGAATCGACGGGCGGCGGGGCCTCTAGGGCGGCTCGACAAAGTAAGAGAGGGCCCGGAGCGCGACTCGTGGCGAGCGCGCTTCGGGCAGGAAAAAAAAAAACGATGTGGTGGGCCTTAGGCACAGTTCCCACAGGGGAACCTGCTCGATACCATGAGAAAAGTAGAACGAGAATGAATGAACTATGAATGAAGTGAGTACATATAGGGAACCCTAATTGGGTTGTACCCCCTATGGGATACCCCACTATAGCCTACACAACAGCATAAGCTATAATGTTCTGACACGTGTGCGCTCTCAATTTTACAATGGCAGCAAGCTGTCTGTATCCACCCAGCAGCCCGTTTGTTGTTCTCCCAGAAGAAGAAGAAAATTTACCAGTATGAAGAAAAACGTCACCGGGTTTGCCCATTTCTTTAGGGACGATGGCGGTGTGCTAAGCGCAAGGAACGGGCACTTGCCTGGTTTCAACACGCTTGCCAACTCCTCGATGCACCCGCTTCTGCCTGCCGCGCTCCCTTCCGTGTGCCTGCACTCCCTTCCGCGTGCCTGCACTCCCTTTCGTGTGCCTGCACTCCTTTTCGCCCGTCGCACTCCCTTACGCCCATCGCCCTCCCTCCCGCCGTCGCCCTCCCTTATGCCCATCACCCTCCCTAGCACTCATCGCATCCCCTTCCGCCATCGCCCTCCCTTCCGCCCGTCGCACTCCCTTGTGCTCGTCGCATCCCCTTCCGCCCATCTCACTCACTTCCGCCCGTCCCACTCCCTCAGCCCGTCGCATTGCCTTTCGCCCGTCGCCCTCCCTTCCGCCTGTCGCCCCCCCTTCCGCCCGTCACCCTCCCTTTGTCTCGTCGCCCTCGCTTCCTCCCATTGCCCTCTCGACCGCCCGCCACCCTACCTTCCCCTCGTCACGCTCCCTTCCGCCCCTTGCCCCCCTTTGTCTCGCCGCGCTCCCTGCTGCTCGTCGCCCTCCCTCCCGCTCATCCCCTCTCAATCCCCGTATCTCTCTCCCCTCGTCGCCCTGGCATTCTCGACACTGTCACCATCCCTCCCTTCTCCCTTTCCAACTCGCACACTTGTCACGCCCCCTTTCCAACCCGCACACACCCTTCCCTTCCCCTTCTCTGCTTCCCCCTATCCCCTTCCCTGCTTCCCCCCATCCCCTTCCCTGCTTCCCCCCATCCCCTTCCCTGCTTCCCCACATCCCCTTCCCTGCTTCCCCCCATCCCCTTCCCTACTTCCCCCCATCCCCTTTCTTGCTTCCCCCCATCCCCTTCCCTGCTTCCCCCCATCCCCTTCCTTGCTTCCCCCCAACCCCTTCCCTGCTTCCCCCTATCCCCTTCCCTGATTTCCCCCACCCCCTTCTCTACTTCCCCCCATCCCCTTCTCTGCTTCCCCCCATCCCCTTCCCTGCTTCCCCCCATCCCCTTCCTTGCTTCCCCCCAACCCCTTTCCTGCTTCCCCCCATCCCCTTCCCTGATTTTCCCCATCCCCTTCTCTGCTTCCCCCCATCCCCTTCTCTGCTTCCCCCCATCCCCTTCCCTGATTTCCCCCATCCCCTTCTCTGCTTCCTCTCAACTTCTTCCCGACTTCCCCTCATCCCCTTCCCTGCTTCCTCTCATCCCCTTCCCTGCTTCCCCCCATCCCCTTCCCTGCTTCTCCCCATCCCCTTGTTTGCTTCCCCCCATCCCCTTCTTTGCTTCCCCCCATCCCCTTCCACGCTTCTCTGCTACCCCTGCCCTGCTTCCCGAGTGCGTTTTTCTGGTCTGAGTTTTGGCGAGTGATTTCGATTTCGTTTTTTTGTTTTTGTTTTGTTTTGTTTTTTCGCCAAACCCAGCATGCCCTGGTCTTTCGCCCTGGAGGTTTGTTGAGTCCCCGAAAGTCCCAGATTGCAGGCGCGCTTCTTTTCAAAGCTTGCAAACACTACTTCCTCAAGTTTTAAAAGCTTGACCTGCGCGCCCCGCAATTTGGGACTCGAGCTTTAAATGTAAACCCTGGCATATCAGGAAAATCCTAGCTCCACAACAAAATTACCCTAAGCCATGAGTGTGACCACCAATAACCACCCTGATAATCAGGGTATCAGGGTGATTCCTCAAACAATAGATAACGACTTTTTATGTTTGGGGTGGCATCCGTCGCACAGCAGGTGTCTCACACATCCCCTCCGCCCCCGCAGTTCCAATAATTCACGCTCCGCTAAAAGGGGGGATGAGCCAATGAGAGCCGTGCGATTTCAATAAGTCACCCAGTAGGAAGAAATGAACAACTGTGAGCCGTGAGATTGAAAAGCAATGTGAGTTGTGCGCTTGCAATAATTCACTTCCGTGCTCGGACGGGAACTCTCTTCCTACTATCTATCCCAGGCCAGAACATAGGGCAAGATTGCTCGCAGTCCTGCATAATTCAAACATGCTCCAATCCCGTTGCTTCACTCGAGTTGCACCGTCGCTCACCAGCCAGAGCGACACCGCAGGCGACTGCCAGTCGCCCTGTTTCCGGCCTGCGCGGGCCTTCGCAATGCAGCACGCCACAGAATTGCGATTCAAAGCTAAGCTCGCATTTCAGCTCGCAACCCCCAAATGCATCAATAACTCCCAATCGCGCGGCGCCACCCGATCGCGTTCCTAGTGACTATTACTGGAATATCAGCCTCGGGCGGTGGGGAAGCGGCGGAAGTGCTCGCGGAACGCGCAGATGTCCCGCGCGCTTAGCCTCCTGGCGATGGGGGAGCATCAAGCCTTGCGTATAGACCACCCACCAGCAGCCATGGAAGCAATTTCTTTCGCCGCTTCTGTGCCATATTCGTGCAGTGATAGTAACGCCAGCAGCTTTCTCACTATATACCTTCAGCTATACCTACCATTGCAACGCCTGCTCTTGTCAATTCATTTCGGAATCGTCTTTCCTGACATTCCGCCGCGCATTGCGCTTCTCAGTGCGCCACGCATTGCGCTTCTCAGTGCGCCCCGCATTGCGCTTCTCAGCTCGCCACGAGCTGCGCTTTTCATCGTGCGTGACTCTCGCGTGCGACTACCGTCACCTGAGACCCCGTCATGTGAGGTTCGCCGACCCCGTCACTGGACTGCGTGCTGTACACCCCAGTAACAGCTGCGCGCTTTGAGACACCACAAAACAGTGGCAGCGGCAGCGGCGCGCTTTGAGACGCATCCTAAACAGTGGCAACTTGACCGTCATGGCTTCCTCTCCTGTCGCGCTGCTTCCGCTCCTCGTCCTCGCCGTCATCTGCGGTGAGTCGCTTCTCTCTCCTCGCCCAATCATCTGCGGCGTGTTCGTTGTCACTTCTTGCATCCCAAGGGATTTCTCATTCTGTTTCTGTGTGTTTGTTCCGCGAATTTCTGAATATAAACCCCCGCAAAAACCCCCGCAAGATCTTTTGAGTCGACTCAAAAGTCACCATAAACCCCCGCAAGATCTTTTGAGTCGACTCAAAAGTCACCATAAACCCCCGCAAGATCTTTTGAGTCGACTCAAAAGTCACCATAAACCCCCGCAAGATCTAGTGGGGATACTTTATTGGATCAGCACAGTGGATGGAAAGCTCATCGCTCGATACAAAAAGTGCATCAAAAGAATAAGCGCCTGGATACTGCGCCTGAGAAGCAAGCACACTCTGCCCTCCTTTCCTCTCACCCCTCTGCTCCCTCTCACCCCTCTCCTCCCTCTCACCCCTCTCACCCCTCTGCTCCCTCTCACCCCTCTCCTCCCTCTCACCCCTCTCCTCCCTCTCACCCCTCTCCTCCCTCTCACCCCTCTCCTCCCTCTCACCCCTCTCCTCTCTCACCCTCTCCTCCCTCTCACCCCTCTCTCCCGCTCCCTGTCCCTCCAGCGGTCGCCACGGCCACCGAGGCTGTAAAGAGCGAGACCACTGCAGGAAGCGGGAACCAGAGCATGCAGGCGGGCGTGGGCGTGGGCGTGGGGGTGGGGGTTCGAAGCACCACAGGCGGGGCGGTGGAGGCGAGAGTCCACGTGGCAACGGTGATCGCGGTGCCGGGTGTGAGCGTCCCCGTCAGCTTCGACGCCCTCCGCTGCTTCAGCCTTCCCCGGGCGGCGCGCAAGGCGGCGGGTGACGTGCAGGTGTGGTGGCACGGGCTCACGGGCGGCGGCAAGGGCGGCAGCAGGGGTGGCAGCAAGGGAGGGGGTGCGGCATGCAAGCAACTCAAGTTTTTTGCCAACCCGGCCTGCAAGGGCAAGGCGCTGGATGAGGTGCTGCAGCCGCAGTTTGCTGCTCTGAGGAGATTCTTCCACGTGCCCAGGTGGGTCATAAGGAAAAGGCAGGTGATGAGACGAGACATGTTGGTGATGGGTCATGGGAGCAGGGCAGGTGCATGATAGGGGTAGGTGCATGGGAGTGAGTTTCCTCTACCAATGCCACAGTCATGCCTCGGGTTGTGTGTGCCACCCTAACATAACGTCTCATTCCTCATGTCTCATCTGAATGTGTTCCTGCCATTCGTGCTTGCAGCGCAAAGAAGATTCCCGGATGGACTTCCGTCTCCTGCAAGTGTGGTGCGTGCCTTGCCGCCTTGCCGCCTTGCCGCCTTGCCGCCTTGCCTCCTTGCCGCCTTGCCGCCTTGCCGCCTTGCCGCCTTGCCTCCTTGCCGCCTTGCCGCCTTGCCGCCTTGCCGCCTTGCCGCCTTGCCGCCTTGCCGCCTTGCCGCCTTGCCGCCTTGCCTCCTTGCCGCCTTGCCGCCTTGCCGCCTTGCCGCCTTGCCTCCTTGCCGCCTTGCCGCCTTGCCGCCTTGCCGCCTTGCCGCCTTGCCGCCTTGCCGCCTTGCCGCCTTGCCGCCTTGCCGCCTTGCCGCCTTGCCGCCTTGCCGCCTTGCCGCCTTGCCGCCTTGCCGCCTTGCCGCCTTGCCGCCTTGCCGCCTTGCCGCCTTGCCTCCTTGCCGCCTTGCCTCCTTGCCTCCTTGCCGCCTTGCCTCCTTGCCTCCTTGCCTCCTTGCCTCCTGCCTCGTTGCTTCGTTGCCTCCTTTCCTCCTCGCCTCCCTGCACACATCTCTGCCGCGCTGCACACATTTCTCCCTACGTGTCTATGTGCTGCCCGTGTGTCTCTCTTCTCACCCCGTGCTCGCAGAAATCACCTGCCAGCACGCCACGTGTCCCTGTGCTACCCATGACTCTTCTTTTCCCGTGCTGGACCCCCTCTCATCGCAGAAATCACCTGCCAGCACGCCACGTGTCCAGCCAACTCCACGTGCATGCCAACGACGGACAGCAAGGCCGTCACCTGTGCATGCAACCCCGGCTTTGCCGCCGTCAATGGCACCTGCCAAGGTACGTTCCATGTGGTATCTCCTTGCCTCTCCTGCTCCCTCCACTCACTTCTCCATGCAACCAGGGCTTTAATATTTTCCTTCTACGTGCCTGGGTCTCCTTTCCTGGCAGACTTGTGTGCTGCGGTGAAGTGTGGGCCTGGCGGCAACTGCACGAAGGATGCGAATGGGAAGCCATCCTGTAGTTGCAACACAGGCTTTAAGCCGTCGAATGACTCCCTTTCCTGCATCGGTGAGTAGGAGGAGAGCAACACAGAGGGCATGCCTTGATTGCGGTTCAAACCCAGTTGAAACTTGGCCTCCTCTCTCAACTCTCTTGTGAGAGTCACGAATTGCATGTATTTTCAACTCAGTGTCCCTTTATTCAACTCAGTGTCCCTTTATTCAACTCAGTGTCCCTTTATTCAACTCAGTGTCCCTTTATTCAACTCAGTGTCCCTTGATTGAATGTCGAGATTCCAATCTTACATATTTCTGATATGATAATAGCCTTCCCCGTGCCTGGGTCCCTCTTCCCGTGCCTGGGTCCCTCTTCCCGTGCCTGGGTCCCTCTTCCCGTGCCTGGGTCCCTCTTCCCGTGCCTGAGTCCCTCTTCCCGTGCCTGGGTCCCTCTTCCCGTGCCTGGGTCCCTCTTCCCGTGCCTGGGTCCCTCTTCCCGTGCCTGGGTCCCTCTTCCCGTGCCTGAGTCCCTCTTCCCTTGCAGACTTGTGTGACGCGGTGAAGTGTGGCCCTGGAGGCAACTGCACGAAGGATGCGAACGGGAAACCACTCTGTGCATGCAACACGGGCTTTAAGCCGTCAAATGACTCGCTCTCTTGCATCGGTGAGTGGGAGGAGAGCAACGCAGAGCCCGTGCCTTGCGTTGCAAGCCCAGAAAAGCATAAGTCTACCTCCTCTGATCTCTAACTTCTTGCACAAGTGAATGCATTTTATGTCTACCTGACTCTGCAACACTTTACTCTAACCTCTTGCACACGTTGAGTTGAATGCCTCCTCCTGCCTTCAGACAACTGTGCTGCAGTGGATTGCGGGGCCAATGGCAAGTGCGTGAGGAAGGGGAACGGCGAACCCACCTGCGAGTGCGACGCGGGCTTCGGGATGCCTCCGGACAAACTGCTTTGCGTCGGTGAGCTGCTGCAGTGGTTGCTGTGTCGGTGAGTTGCTGCAGTGGTTGCTGTGTCGGTGAGTTGCTGCAGTGGTTGCTGTGTCGGTGAGTTGCTGCAGTGGTTGCTGTGTCGGTGAGTTGTTGTGTCGGTGAGTTGTTGTGTCGGTGAGTTGTTGTGTCGGTGAGTTGTTGTGTCGGTGGAATGCTCTTCACCTGCCTATGTCTCCTCTCCTTTCCACCTGCGAGTGTGACGCGGGCTTCGAGATGCCTCCCAACGAACTGCTCTGCATCTGTGAGTTGTTGTGACAGTGAGTTGTTGTGACAGTGAGTTGTTGTGACAGTGAGTTGTGACAGTGAGTTGATGTGACAGTGAGTTGATGTGACAGTGAGTTGATGTGACAGTGAGTTGATGTGACAGTGAGTTGATGTGACAGTGAGTTGATGTGACAGTTTGTTGTTGCATCGGTGAGTTGTTGCATCGGTGAGTTGTTGCATCGGTGAGTTGTTGCATCGGTGAGTTGTTGCATCGGTGAGTTGTTGCATCGGTGAGTTGTTGCATCGGTGAGTTGTTGCATCGGTGAGTTGTTGCATCGGTGAGTTGTTGCATCGGTGAGTTGTTGCATCGGTGAGTTGTTGCATCGGTGAGTTGTTGCATCGGTGAGTTGTTGCATCGGTGAGTTGTTGCATCGGTGAGTTGTTGCATCGGTGAGTTGTTGCATCGGTGAGTTGTTGCATCGGTGAGTTGTTGCATCGGTGAGTTGTTGCATCGGTGAGTTGTTGCATCGGTGAGTTGTTGCATCGGTGAGTTGTTGCATCGGTGAGTTGTTGCATCGGTGAGTTGTTGCATCGGTGAGTTGTTGCATCGGTGAGTTGTTGCAGTTGCTGTGTCAGTGGAATGCTCTTCACTTGCCTGTGTCTCCTCTCCTTCCCACCTGCGAGTGCGTCGCGGGCTTCGGGATGCCTCCCAATGAACTGCGCTGCGTCGGTGAGTTGCTGCTGTGGTCTTGTCTGGAAGGGTGGAGATTTGTTTTACACATTTGCAAATTCTTGCTTGACCTGCTATCATGCATGCTCCACCCACCCACCTGCTTGCCCATAGCACCTAGCTTAGCTTGACCTGCTACCATGCTTGTTCCAAATCCTGTATTTCTTTTCTTTTCTTTCATCATCCTCGTTTTTCCTTTTCTTCTGCCCCATTCTTCCACCCCATCCTTCCATGCACGCACATCAGACACGGCTTGCGCCGCGTTGGGTTGCGAACCGGATGGGGTTTGTCTGTTGAGGCGCCTCACAAGTTCTTGTTCCCCCTTCTTCTGCCCCATCCTTTCGTCCACCCTTCCATCCACGTACACGCACATCAGACACGGCTTGCGCCGCATTGGGTTGCGAACCGGATGGGGTTTGCGTGAAAAGCGCCGATGGAATTCGCTCCTGCAAATGGAGTAAGCACCACTCATTCTCCTTCAGCTCTATGCTTTGGTTCAGCTGCCCCTTATGCTGCTTTCTCCACTCAACATTCGTCACCCGGATGGCGTTTGCGTGAAAAGCGCCGATGAAATCTGCTCCTGGAGTAAGCATGGCTTCTAGCCTTTTGTTCCCTCAAGCCATCCTATCAGCACCCATCTGCACTCATTCTCCTCTAGCTCTCTTATTCAAGGAAGCACCTGCTCCATACGTGCAGCTGCCCCCTTTGCCTCTGGCTCTTGTCAGCATTCCTCTGCATCTGCCCCCTTTGCTGTCCTCATCTGGACTTTTGAAAACTAAAGCTTTGACTTTTGAGGCGCCTGAAAAGCCTCCAGCTGGCCCGTTTGTTGCGCTCATTTTGCCTTCTCTCTGCCATTCCATGTGTCCCCCTGCTTGCTGTGTTGCTCAAACTCTCCCTGTGGCACGTGTCCCATGGGAGCCACCTGCAAGACAGTCCATACCTCTTACCGCACCCAACCTTTTGGCATCTCTCTGCAATCCCATGTTTCCCCCCTGCTTGCTGTGTTGCTCAAACTCTCCCTGTGGCACGTGTCCCATGGGAGCCACCTGCAAGACAGTCCATACCTCTTACCGCACCCAACCTTTTGGCATCTCTCTGCAATCCCATGTTTCCCCCCTGCTTGCTGTGTTGCTCAGACTCACCCTGTCGCACGTGTCCCTCTGGAGCCACCTGCAAGACAGTCCATACCTCTTACCGCACCCAACCTTTTGCCATCTCTCTGTCATCCCATGTTTCCCCCCTGCTTGCTGTGTTGCTCAGACTCTCCCTGCGGCACATGCCCCACTGGAGCCACCTGCAAGACAGTCCCCACAACAGCATCTAGTATTTTGCAGGCCGAGTTGCCGTACTGCCAGTGCCCTCCCGCCTCATTTCACCATCTCTCCTTCATTCCATGTGTCCCCCCCCCCCCCCCTTGCCCTGTTCCTCAGACTCTCCCTGCGGCTCCTGCCCCACTGGAGCCACCTGCAAGACCGTCCCTACAACAACATCTAGTATTTTGCAGGCAGATGTGCCGTACTGCCAGTGCCCTCCGGGCTATGGGCTGACCGCAACAGGGTGCATCCAGAGTAAGATTCAATGCCGCCCTCTTTGCTTCATCTCGATCTAATGACTTGCAAGACCGTCCCTGCAACAGCAACTAGTCCCCAGCAGCAGGCGGAGGTGCCGTACTGCCAGTGCCCTCCGGGGTATGGGCTGACGGCAACAGGATGCATCCAGGGTAAGATTCAATGCCGCCTCGTCTGCTTCCTCTCCTTTGATCACATGCGGCATTCGCCTGGCTCGGCTTTTCACGGTTACTCTTGAGTCGACTCAAAAGTCACCTTGTAAGATTCAATACCGCCTCGTCTGCTTCCTCTCCTTCGATCACATGCTGCGTTCTCCAAGCTCAGCGTTTCATGGGGGCCTGAGAACTTTCGAAAAAAGCCTCTCAAGGTTTGGGTGGAGTCAAAACATTTTCACTGGATCAGCGCATGAAGTGGGTCTGAGAAAAGCCTCTCAACCTCAAGGTTGAGGTTCCTCAAAGGTGGGTGGCATGTTCCTGAAGCGGAGAGCCTCTCTACTTGTGAGGCACCTCAAACTTAAGGCGCCTTACGGAACGACTACACAGCTTGGAGTGCAGCGGTAGCTTGAACTTGGAATGTTTTTTTGTTTCGTTTCGTTTTGTTCTGTTTTTTTTTTTTTTTTTTTTTTTTTTTTTTTTTTTTTTTTTTTTTTTTTTTTTTTTTTTTTTTTTTTTTTTTTCCCTGACTCTGGTGTATTGCAGCAGGCGACTTGTACGCGGATCAGATTTTTACCTTCACAGTTCCTTCTTCTCCCGATTCGTAGCATCATGACATGACCTTCTCGTTCCCTCTCCAATCCATGCTCCACCCCTCTCCCCTGCTGCTTGCCCCATCCGTTCTCAGGTTCACCCGACCAAGTGTCTGCCAGCAGTATGACTCTCTTCCGGGTTAGTAACACCAGAGGCATTGTCTGAGGTGCCTGAAAAAACCTCCTGCTGTTTCTCCCATCCATTCTCAGACCAACCCGACCAAGTGTCTGCCAGCAGCATGACTCTCACCGCGGACTCTAACGTCCGAGGCAACGCGTCCAAACCCTACACCATCCGCTTGAATCAACCCGGCTGCACTCCAGACCCGAAGGAGGATGCCGGGATCCACACGCTGATGTACTCACTGGGTCACATCAACGGCTGGTTTTCCCATCCATGCTCCACCCCACTCCCCTGCTGTTTGCCCTGCTGCTTCTCCCATCCGTTCCCAGGTTCACCTGACCAAGTGTCTGCCAGCAGTATGACTTTCGTCGCAGATCCCAACGCCAAAGGCAACGCATCGAAGCCCTATACCATCCGCTTGAATCAACCCGGCTGCACTCCAATCCCGAAGGAGGTTGCCGGGATATACTCTTTCATGTATTCACTGGATCACATTAACGGTGTTCCGGGTTGTTTCTACGTCACGTTTTTCACTGACGATAACTGCTCCCCTTCGAGCCGAACTTTGTCGCGCACAATGGGTGGTCCTCCGACGGTTGCGATGGCGAGAACGTAAGTTGCCAACCAATCACAAACCGTTTCTACGTCACTTTTTTCACTGACGATAACTGCTTCCCCTCGAGCCGAACTTTGTCGCGCACAATAGCTGGTCCTCTGACGGTTGCGATGGCAAGAACGTGAGTTACCATTCGCAAATCATCTCGCAGTCTGCATGTCGTCATGATGCATAAACTCATTGCATATTAGGTTTCCCGATACCATGTCAATGGTGCACGGTGCACCGTTGTACCATTTTGTCTGTCCACCCTGTCGCTTTTGAGAATTCTCCGAAGTCCAACCCTCTCAATTCTTGTTTCCTCTGGTGTACTGTACGTCTTTATTCTTTTATCCCAACCAGGCGGGGATTGCCCGATGGAACCCGCTCTGTTGGGTGCTATTATGATACCTGATTACCTCTTCTAGGTGCTTCCCGTTCCCGTGTTTTTCGATGTTGAAATAACCAAAAGGGTAGAGTTCTATAACGGTGATTGTGCTAGTGGCGCATTCCGCCTCTTATAGAGGACGCGGTCAACTACTGTTCACTACCCTCTCAGAGGTTATGGGTATCTGCAATTGGGTATTATGCTTGTACTTATGTTACATTCAGTAAGAAGTCGTCATTGTTAAGACCTTTGTAGTAGTTTCACAAACGCCTTCTAATAATTTTCTGAATGTTATTGTGAGATACCAGTGGGTGTTTGTAGTCTCCCATTGTAAGGAATTTTCTCGGCATTCCTTACGGGGCCGATTGTTAGCTCGTTACTGCTAACGGAACTGCTAACTTTGTCGCGTACAGCAACAGCCGATTGTTCGCTCGTTACTGCTAACGGAACTTCGCCGACTTCGCGCGCACTGTTTTGCCAAACCTCGCACTGCTGGCATGGCCGTATCGGCCTACGCTTCGGGACTAGCCCGAGCCTCACTCCAGCGTAGCACTAGCAAGCTCGCACGCACCGCGTTACCGTTTTGCATGTTTCGCGTATAAATGTTCGCTCATGCCTTCGCTCACATTTTGTACTCGTTTGACACCTTAGTGCAATTCTCGCTACCTCGATTCATTGCACCCGTAACACTTGGTATCAGAGCCCCTTTCTTTCGGACCGCGCATCTCCGCACACCAGGAAATCAACTTTTGATTTTTCACTCGAAGGGACTCACGCACCTTAGCCCCTAGGAGCCGCTGTCCTCGCGTTCTCTCGTAAACGCGTGCAGCCACGACTGCGCCTAGACTAAGACGAGCCGACGCCCTTCATCATGGCTGAAAACATCGACGTCACCACCCTCATGCAGGAGCGTTTGAACGATCTGCTGCGACAGCTGCACGAAAGCTCTGAGGAAATCGCGGCATTAACGGCAGAACGCTCATCGCTGCAAAATGACCTCATGAGGGCACAACAAGCACAATCTCAAGCACATGGCACTCCGATTCAACCTGCACCCTCAACATCGCAACACGGGAGTGTGGGGCAACCCGCGAGCGCGGCCAGTGATGGCGTCGTCCGCCCCGACGGAGACGACGACCACGGCACGACACACCTCAGAGCGACGCATGCGGCCCCAAGTCAGCCTCGCGTCACGATTTCGGCACCAACCCACGATTCGGGACTGCCGTCACCGATGCCGCTGAAGCCGCAGCGCCCGCCATGCTTTGACCCGAGTCAACGGGGTGGTCCTACCGTCCAGGCGTGGTTATTCACAATGAATGTTTTCTTCGACGCCAACTACGTCTCGGAGGACTCGGCGAAGATTCGATACGCCGTGTCGTTGCTGTGAGGACCCGCCATGGACTGGTGGCGCGTCATCGTCACGAAGCCGACCGACTACGCGACACTACCGACACGGGAAGGACAAACCGGACCCTGGGCGCCGTCGTATTTCGTGGAGGTGCCCCAGTATCGCACGTGGGACGCGTGGTGCGCAGGTCTGCGCGCTCGATTTGAGCCAATCGCGGCCTCGATCTCGGCGCGACAGAAGCTCCGCACTTGGCGCCAACTTGGTTCCGTCCAGGATTACACGAGCGGATTTCTGGCGCTATGCGAGCAGGTGGGCTACATGCATGAGAGCGAACGCATCGACCGCTACATCGGCGGCCTGAAGCAGGACATCGCTCAGGAAATCCAGCTTCGCGGCGTCACCGAGTTTCAGGAAATTCTCGCTATGGCGGAGAAGCTCGACTTCTTTCGCCGACCGAGACCGGGGTCCTACGGAAACAACACCTGGGGACATCGGCCTCGTGGGACGAACGAGAGCGCCACGATACGCGCCGTCGCCGCAAATGCCGCTGCCGCACCGTTCAAAGGGCGCTGCTTTGCGTGCAATCGGCCGGGACATCGCAAGAGCGAATGCCCGGAAAACGCTAAGGGAAAGGGGGAAGCTGAGCAGCAGACACAGACCAAGCAGCAGGGAAACGCTGGAAGTCAGTAGCAGACGGGCCCTCTACTGACAGGTCACGCCGCTCGCCCGACCCAACCGACCCTCACCGAGTGATTGTGCCGGTTCACGCAATCGACCACACCCGGCCGAATAAGGAGGGTACCACGGTAGATAGCCCTATACTGCTCAGTGGGAAAATTGGGACGGACTTAGTTAAAATCTTCGTAGACGGGGGAGCCAGCCACAGCCTCATTAACACTGCTACAGCGCGAAAACTGCGACTGCCACTGGACCGATGCTTACCTGAGATCGACGCACGACTGGTAGACGGCACGCCGCTGGCAATACGGGAACGCGTAGACCGAGTTCGGATTCGATGCGGGGGTAACTTCACGTTTAGCCAGGAAATGCTCGCAACGACCCTCGACGGAACCGACATTTTACTCGGGCGTGATTGGCTGCGACGACACAATCCGCGAATTGACTGGACGACGGGTGACTGCACCGTGCGAGTAAACGGTAACAACATCGCCTTACCTCGCTGGGGCTCGCCTGAGTCTTCGACGGTGCGTGTCAATGCGATCACGATGAAACGCGCTGTTGCGGCCGGAGCCGACGTGTACGTGGTTGACATTCGGGAAGCCGAGGCAGCAGACAAGGGGGGCGATTTACAGAAACTGCTGACCGACGTACCGAGTGACCTGGCGGCACTGTTAAAACAGTACAGTGACATTTTCCCGGATGACCTGCCGACGGGACTGCCACCTCAGCGACCGCACGATCACAGGATAGAACTGGAACCGGGGGCACAGCCAACAGTACAGCGACAGTTCCGACTGACCCAACCCGAACTAGACGAACTGAGGAAGCAGCTCGATTACCTGCTCGAGAAGGAATTCATTCGCCCTAGTTCGTCGCCCTTCGCCGCACCCATACTGTTCACAGCGAAAAAAGACGGGGGTTTTCGCATGTGCGTCGACTACCGGGCACTGAACAGGGTTACCATCAAATCCCGTTACCCCATCCCACGAGCCGACGAACTGATCGACCAACTGCGCACAGCCCGGGTTTTCTCGAAAATCGACCTCCGAGGAGGCTACCACCAAATCCGCGTCAATCCAACCGACTGCCCTAAAACCGCATTCCGAACACGCTACGGATCCTTCGAATACACCGTCATGCCATTCGGACTGACCAACGCCCCCGCCACTTTCCAAATGACCATGAACGAAGCATTCCGCCCGCTTTTAGATAAGTGCGTCATCGTTTATCTGGACGACATACTGATTTACAGCCCTGACAGAGCACAGCACTTACAGGACATCGAAGCAGTTTTTAAAATCCTGAGTGAGAACCGCCTACTGACCAAAGCATCTAAGTGTGAGTTTTTACAGGACCGCCTGGAGTTTTTGGGACATGTTATTTCAGCTGCAGGAGTGGAAATAGACCCGAAGAAAATCGCGACGATTCAGGCTTGGCACGCGCCGACCAACTTGACCGAGTTGCAGAGTTTCCTGGGGTTCGTCAACTACGTGCGCCGGTTCGTCCCCGACATGGCGAAGCTGACTGCCCCGTTGACCGACCTGCTGAGGAAGGGGGTCGAGTACACGTGGGGGGAGAAAGAGCAAGCTGCCTTCTCGGCCCTCAAAGAAATTTTGTGCTCCCCGCCCGTCCTTCGCATTGCAGATCCCCACCGTCCGTTCGAGCTCGTCACCGACGCAAGTGACATCGCTGTGGGCGCAGTACTGTTGCAGGACTTCGGGAACGGCCTCCAGCCAATCGCGTACGAGTCCCGCAAACTACACCCGCCCGAACGTAACTACCCGATACACGACCGCGAGATGCTAGCGATCGTGCACGCGTTCAAAGTTTGGCGATGTTACCTGACTGGCGCCGACGTGACAGTACGGACAGACCACCGCTCGCTACAGTACCTTCGCGCCCAACCGAATCTCAACCCACGGCAGATTCGCTGGTTGGACTATCTCGAGTCCAATTTTCACTACACCGTTACGTACAAAAAAGGCGCATCCAACATCGCCGACGCTCTCACCCGCCCCACCGCCCAACTCCACGCCATCCTACTCGCCCAGACCAACCCGCTTTTAACTGGCCTATTCACCCACGGATACCGCACCGACCCATTCTTCACGACCGGAAATTCACAGCAACTGGCAGAAGCAAAAGGAGTCTATTACGTAAAAACAGGCACCAACCGCATTTGGGTACCCGCGTACTCACTACTGAGGGAGCTGCTACTGCAGGAGGCACACGACGGGATTACCTCGGGACATTTCGGGGTAGAAAAAACGCGACAGCAACTGCAGCGGTATTATTACTGGCCGGAGCTGTTGACCGACGTACAGCAGCACGTGGGCTCGTGCCCGACGTGTCAGGTGATGAAGAGTTCAAGGAAGCGGAAGGCGGGTCAATTGCAGCCGATCCCACCGCCCGAACGCGCCTGGCAGCAAGTAACCATGGACTTCGTCACAGGGTTACCTTCGAACCCTGGGGGTAACGACGCGGTGATGGTCGTCGTGGATAGGCTGACGAAGATGGCACACTTCGCTGCGTGCAAAAAGTCGATCTCAGCCGAGGAGACCGCTCGCCTGTTCATCGCAGCCGTTGTTCGCCTGCACGGGATACCAGCAGCAATTATCAGCGACAGGGACACGAAGTTTACCAGCAATTTCTGGAAGAACCTCTGGGAGCAGTTCTGGACCAGGCTACAGTTCAGTTCGTCGTACCACCCCGAGACCGACGGCCAAACGGAGCGGACGAATCAGACGATGGAGCAGTTGATTCGTGCCACGTGCGACAACCCCACGACCTGGGAGCAGCAGTTGCCGCTGATCGAGTTCGCGTACAACAACGCCACATCAGCCACGACGCAGCAGTCGCCGTTCTACCTGAACTATGGGCAAAACCCCACAGTGCCCATGACGCCGAGTCCGGACAACCCAACGCCACGTGCACAACAATTCGCCGAAATCCTGCAAGCTGCCCGCGCCAGAGCCGCCGAAGCAATAAAAAAGGCCAACGTCATCGCTAAGCGCAACGCTGATCGCCACCGCCGCCCTGTCACGTACCAATCTGGAGATTACGTGCTGCTCGACACGCAAAATCTGCGACTGCCCGACGTACCGAAATTACGACCGCGCTACTGTGGACCATTCCAAATCAGTCACATGATCACACCCGTCACCGCGCACCTACTGTTGCCAACCGACTGGTACATCAGCCCTTCGTTCCACGTCAGCCTACTTCGCCCATACATCCCGACCACAAGTCAACTGCCACGTCACCGGCCACAATCAATGACTCGCCCTGCATCAAAGCCGATCATCGAGCCCGAAAAAATTCTGAGCCATCGGATCCGCCACCCCACGGGAATCAGGAGGATTGAATTCCTCGTTCGCTGGAAAGACCGCACGCCAACTGAAGATAGCTGGGTGCCCCTGAGCAACATCGAAAATCACCCTGCCCTGCAAGTGTACCTGAGGAGCCGGGGATTCCGCGATATACACGCACTCGCGTAGCGGAGGGGGCTTCTTAAGGGGGGGGGTAGTGTAAGGAATTTTCTCGGCATTCCTTACGGGGCCGACTACATCGCGTACAGCAACAGCCGATTGTTCGCCCGTTACTGCTAACGGAACTTCGCCGACTTCGCGCGCACTGTTTTGCCAAACCTCGCACTGCTGGCATGGCCGTATCGGCCTACGCTTCGGGACTAGCCCGAGCCTCACTCCAGCGTAGCACTAGCAAGCTCGCACGCACCGCGTTACCGTTTTGCATGTTTCGCGTATAAATGTTCGCTCATGCCTTCGCTCACATTTTGTACTCGTTTGACACCTTAGTGCAATTCTCGCTACCTCGATTCATTGCACCCGTAACACCCATGCATGAGGCGAGAAATTAGGCAATTCTCCCTCTGGACAGCCCTTCATTCCATGTCGAACACCACTTACGGTAAGATAAGAAGACCTGAAAACAATTAGTTCCAAGAGCACTGCATCTAAGGTAGAGAGCATATACAGTATCATGATATTTGGCGATTACGGGAAGGACAGCGCGACAAAGTCCAGCAATTCTACTTCTAAAATTCCTGGTGGCACGTGTCTGATTTGGCTTGGTGATGTCAGCTTGCCCTTTCTTGCACTGATGAGCCACGCGCCCAACTGTCCTACGTGTACGTCGACAGCGTGTCCCGGCAGTTTTCCACACCCGAGAACACGATCCTTCCCAAAAACCTGCGAGCGGGATGGGCTGGTCAGGTCGGGTGAGACTGACCAGACTGGAATTGAAGTAAAGCCTTTGTTTGAATGGCTTTCCGCAACGCACGCAAAAGATTTCTCTATTCTCCGTCATGTCACGTCACACATGGTTTGCAGAAGAGCATAACCCAGTTCAAGTGTTGTAAGTCATAAAAATGTTGTGGATTAATTTTATTGTTTCACCACCGACAACCCAGTGCCTAGCAGACATTGTTCGTTAACACTTACCACCGGCACAACTATTTTACGAGTCTCAGCTCTCCACTCCAGCCATGTTTGGCTCATGATGCTGGGACAATACACCACGTCCACCCAAGTCGAAGATGCTGTTCATCACGGCAAGTGAACAGCAGCCTCTCCCACCAATCCGAAGAGAATTGCGCTCCGCCTTCCACTTCTCTGCCCATCCTCATCATTTCTCCCAATCCCCTTCCAGGCAAAAATGTTTCACCTACCCGTCTGCGTGGCATTCCACACAATCCATCCATCTCGCAAAACACTCCCTCTGCCTAGCTCTGGAAAAGAATGCTTGAAAACCTTGCACCGCCGCCTCCAACCTTTCCCTCAAATGCGAGCATGGGGGATACAGTACGACTATCCCTCCACCTCGAAGTACAGTACACAATGTTCACCCACCTCAAAGTGTGTGTACAGTTTTCCCCCTCCCTCGCCCATCTCCGCACACATCCCCTGTCCCGGCCCCCCCCTTCCCCCTTCCCCCTTCCCCCTTCCCCCTTCCCCTTCCCCTCCTCCGACTCCCCTCCGCTCCGACCACATGACAAGATCTCGTTCCCCTATTATGGCGCACCTTTACACGCACAGGTCCTACTTTCCTGCCAGCCCTGGGTTCTGATATTTCCCACCGACCTCCTTTTCTCCCCCCATTCCGCCTCCTGCTTGTCCTTCCTTACTGCAAGCAGAGCGGAGTGTGCTGCTGTGCAGGGATAGGTCAAGCTATACTCGCCCAGCAGATGTTCCTTGCCAATCAAAAACGGCCATTATCTCCGATAAGATTTCGCCTGAGCGCGTTCTCAGGTGTAATCACCAACAGAAACACAGTTTCTCGATATAGTTTGAAGAAATTCTGGCTCATGTTTATATGCAGTCACTCAAAAAAAGGAATTCTAGCACTTGCAAAAAATAAATATAATGCCCGTAGCGAAGCTATATGATTTCCAGGAAGGATCAACCCTAAATACCGAAAGCCACCCAATATTTTGGAAAACATTCTGCAACCCACTTGACAAAAAAAATAACCCACCTCGGATTTGGATGCGGCTCGGGAGGCATCCAGGTTCCCTAGGGGTTTTATTTTTTTTCTGCCATGCCCGAATAGATATCGGTAGTGTCGTCTAGTGCTTTCGGTAGCGTTGTTTAGCGGTCGGTTGCGCTACTGAGCACTACCAAGTGAATTATATGGGCTTCATTCTCTTACTACCTTAATTTCCGTACATATATCCAGCTCGGGAGGGTAAACTGGATGGTTTTGTTTTTGTCACTTCCTAATGAGTTCGACCAGCGTGAGAAATGTGACTAAAAAGCGAGGACCAATCAACGTTGAGAAAGTCCAGGTTGATCACACCTGAGAACGCGCTCTGGGAAAATCTGAGTATCGGAGATAATGGCCGCAATCAGAAATGCCAGTCACCTTAACTCTAACCGTCTATGGCACCACGTTGACGTCCAAATTACAGTAGTGAGTGTGGTGGGGTGAGGAGGAGGAAGGGGCTACGTCTACGCGTACTCTTTCAGTCTGCAGAAGTCCACCCCACCCACCTCGCAGTTGCAACTTACCAGCTGTGCGGGGAAGAGAAGTCGTTATCATTCACCACCATCCACTCAGAAAGACTGATTTTTGAATCAACTCAAAAATCCTCCCAGTTGCACCAAAGACAACTGGCCGTAGGAGGAAGAGTAGCATAATTATTATCCACCACCATCCATTCGGAAAGACTGCGTTGACGGCCCGCATATTTGCTCCTAAAATTATTAACTTTAGAGGCGCATAAGCAGCAGCGCACCGGAACTGCAGCAGTTGGCACATTCGCAGCCATGGCGTGCGGGATGAGCTTCATGGATGCCCTTCGAGTCGCGGCAAAGACGAAAGACGCTCCGTCTGAGTGGTTCGAGCATCAACCCACGTGGCCCACGAATCCCTTCCCCAAAGATAAAACCAGCCCCGAGCCCGTTTCAGCGACGAACCATCCCATGCCGAGCCTATCCATGCCGAACATCCAGATGCCGAGCCTCCCCATGATGCCGAGCCTTCAGGCGCCAAGTCCAAGAAAGCGAAGGCAATGCGGCCCGGAGACGCCTCGAAAAACCCGCTCCGAGTCGCCAGCTGCCGCAGATTCTACCGATGCTTTCGCGGATCTTAACAATGCCGCTCCAAGAACTAGTAATAGCGAGGTATTTTTTAGATTTATTCAAGATCCTGCCTCTGACGCTTCCGTGGGACCCGCAGAGGGCGCCGGTTCGGCAAATCTTGACAACGCGGTTCCAGGATCTGGCAGGGAGAGAGAGGGGGAATTTCGACATGCCGAGCCTGCTAAGATTTTCTGCAACGACTGGCCTGCATACGGTCGAACAGAGACGCCCCAACCTACTAGCGCCACGGCTCAACACGGCGCTATCACCGCCGCGCAATGCGGTGCCAGTACTGTTACTGGACTCGCCACGAAGCGCTCGCCCCGACCGCCGCGCCGTCGCGAGATTCGTCAGCCTCCGCTAACGCCGAAGGCTCGCACTCTCGCGTGGGGAATGCGGTCGCCGGCTGCGGCGGAAGCAAATCCCGCCGAAGAGTCCGCTCCTCCGCCACTCCGCTTGACATCCTCCCCCGTCTCCGCCGCCTCCCCCGCCTGTTCCTCCTTCCCCTCTTCCCCCAAGCTGCTCGTATTGCCGGATTCCGCCTTCTTTCCTTCCCCGCGCATCCCCGAAGCGCGTTTTACCTCCCCACGGACAAGCACGCCCGCGCCTTTCGAGCCGCCTCAAAACACTGCCTCGCGGCCTCCGGCCTTTCGTTCCGCGGCCTCTCCGCGGGCGTGTTGCACTGTCTTCGAGGCGCCTCAAAAGTGTGGCACCGCGCCAACCACTCCATCGTGTCCGCCTCTCGTCGAGCCGCGACTGCCCCGAGCGCGCACGTGTGACGTTGCAGCAGACAGCGGCGGAGGAGCGCCCGCCGTCTCCGCGGGCGCGTCCGCCATCCGCGGAACATTATCCGCTTTGGGTTACTCCCCCGCCGCCGTTTCCCCCGCATCTTCATGCCCAACGATTGGCGCCGTTGACCAAGTCAACGGCCACGTGTCGACATGCGAATGGGCTGAATCTGCCGACATGGACACGTTGGACATACCGCCGTGGGTGCGAGAAAAGCTCTCTCTTTCCCGCACGGAAGAGGTGCAGAATAATGAGTCGGCCGGACTCACAAGAGTCAGTCGAATGGACCGCGAAGCGATGGCGGATGGCAACAAGCGAGCGGGACGCGTCGAGTGCGGAGGCGAGTGCGGCAAGGTGTGCGGCGGCGAGTGCGCGGAGAATCGAAGCCGCGAGAGGGACGCGGAAGGCGAGAAGCCGAGCCTGTGGGACATCATGCAATGGGAATCCGATATGATCTCGTCCGTCTGCTCGACTGCCGCTGCTAAATCTCCCCGACCGCCGTTCTCTAAGAGTTCAACATTTGAGGCGCCGCAAAGGTCGCTCTCTAAGCGGCACCGCTCCGCGTCTGCTCTCCCCACCACTCCGCCTCCCACGCCATCCGCGTCTAAAGCGTCACTGACGATCCAGATCTGCGACGACGCGAGCGCCAACTGCGGAGATTTATCGTTTTTCGAGGAGCTGCTGCAGGAGTTCGGCGCGGGCGAGGGGGAAGAAGCGGGCGGAGAGATGGAGGACGAACCGGGATGGGCGGAAGAAATGCGCATTCCGGCGGAAGAAACAGCTCATTTTGAGGAGGTTGCGCCTGTTGTGCCGCAGCTAGACGACAGCTGGGGTGATTTTGCGGTGAAAATGGAAGATGAGGGGAAAGCTGACGGCGGGAAGGGGTTAAGGATCGACGGGGAGAGCATTTTTGAGCGGATTCAAGTAATGGGGGACGAGGGGCCGGAGATGGGGGACGAAGCGACGGGGATGGCGGAGGATGGAGTGGAGATGGCGGATGAGGGCGCGGGTATGGCGGATGAGGGCGCGGGGATGGCGGATGAGGGCGCGGGGATGGCGGATGAGGGCGCGGGGATGGCGGATGAGGGCGCGGGGATGGCGGACGAGGAGGAGATTCCATCCAATAAACTATCGCATGATCAGCCTGCTGCTGCTCGAAATATCTTGAGCAGTGTTCAGCTGCAGCGGAAACAGGGGGAAGTGGGGGAGGCAGATGCGGAGCAGCAGAACGGGCCGCAGTGTGGTTCACCGTCCCGTTCCGCGCATGGTTCTCCGAGTGCCCCTGCTGGCGGATTCGCGCAGATGTGGTCAGAAGCTTGGGCGGACGACGCGGACGCAGAAATACCAGGGCTGGCGGGGAGCTGCGTGTTCCGAGCGTGACTAGAGAAAAAAATCGTGGTGAGCTGTACGCGCTACAAGCTCCTGCCCTAATAAGATGTTTTACTGGCGATGCTCTGGTTCCAGAAGTGAAGCATCGAAGTGCTCTGGTGCCACTACTGCTGTTACACTCAAGGAGTTTCAACTACAGCTACAGTACCAGCTACAGTTACAAACTGCGTCGGCTGAGTTTCCCGCTACATTGTTGAGATGGTGCTGTTACATCATCACCTCCTGATGTCAGGAGGATGAGAAGACAAGCTGATTTGTTGATTTGATTTGCCATCACCCTGGCGATGATTTGATCCAGTCCACATACGGAGCTCTACCTGATACCACGGCTCCACTTCACCGTCTTTCTGCTCCCTACCTTGCTCTTTGCCCCGCCGCTTACCTCACTCTAGCTCCTTCTCCCTGCCTCTTCTTGCCTCACACAAAGCCTCGCTCCCCCTTCTGTCGCATCACCTTCACCCACCGATTCTTCCCCCTCTCCTGTATCCTCACCTTCACCCTCCGATTCTCCCCCCTCTCCTGTGTCCCCACACCCCTTCCTCGCCCCTCCTTCCCACATCCAGCCACACCACCACACCCCTGTCCTGAGCCCTCTTGCTCTCTTGTTACCCAGCACAAACCATTCTTTTATTCCCCTTCAGGGAAAGGGCCCATTGTGGGATATTTCTGTTTTAGCGCTTCCCTTGGCTCCACTATATTTACCGTATATGGTGTTTGAATCATCTTCCTGAAACAATCAAGTTGTAATGTGCCATGATGGTATCTTTTGTTTGTCCTTGATGTCGTTGCATGAAAGAGCAGTCAGCCATTGGTGTTTCTTAGTGGTCTACCATTCAGTTTCTGTCCAAAACAAGAGCAAGGCACTCACAGCTTACCCGAAGAAATGTGTCATACGGTGGCAGTCTGTAATTTGACACAACCAAGTCACATCAATCATCACCAAAGCAGTATTATCTCTATAATCTCCAACTCACTCAATAAGGAGTATAATCTCCCTCTCTACTGCTCACTATCGAGGCCAAAAGCACGGATGTAGAACTCGAAGCGCTGCTTCTCCTGCTGCTTATCCAGCATTGTGTCTTCCCACTTGTAGTGGTGCCGCGGCCGCTTCTCCTGACGGGGTGAAATGAGAATGGAAAGGAGGTGTGGAAACAAGGAGGGTGAGATGAGAATTAGTTCATTCTAGCAGCGCTGCTTCTCCTCCTCCTGCTTATCTAGCATCGTGTCTTCCCACTTGTAGTGGTGCTGCGGCCGCTTCTCCTGACGGGGTGAAATGAGAATGGAAAGGAGGTGCGGAAACAAGGAGGGTGAGATGAGAATTAGTTCATTCTAGCAGCGCTGCTTCTCCTCCTGCTTATCTAGCATCGTGTCTTCCCACTTGTAGTGGTGCCGTGGGCGCTTCTCCTGAGCAGGTTTGGGGACAGAGAAAGGCGAGAAAAGGGGAGAGTGAGAGAAGAATTGGCACCTGGCAGGGCGCTGCTTCTCCTGCTGCCTATCCAGCATCGCGTCTTCCCACTTGTAGTGGTGCCGTGGGCATTATATAAGATTGGAAGCGCTGCTTCTCCTGCTGCCTATCCAGCATCGCGTCTTCCCACTTGTAGTGGTGCCGTGGGCATTATATAAGATTGGAAGCGCAGCTTCTCCTCCTGCCTATCCAGCATCGTGTCTTCCCACTTGTAGTGGTGCCGAGGACACTTCTCCTGAAAGGGTGGTAACCAGGAGCAGTGAGAAAGCGGAGGGACAAGGAAGAGTAGGAGTGAGATGAGAAAGAAGAAGCGTTTCTTCTCCTGCTGCTTATCCAGCATTGTGTCTTCCCAATTTAGCGTTTCGGGTGAGGAGGCCGCTTCTCCTGAGACGGTGAAGACGGGACGGAGTGAGAAGAGAAATGAGAGGAACAATAGAAGGAAACACTATATCCCCACACCTCACGTCTTGCCCCTGTCTTCTATCCTCACCTTGGAGTTGCCTGCCAGGTAGGCGCGCATCTTATCCGCCACGTCATCGTCCAGCTGGCGCTTGAGCAGATCTCGGTAGATGCGGCGCACCGTGGCCATCGGATCGGCCACGAGATCGCTGTAGCGCACATCAACGGCCTGGGATGACTGCAAAGCAAGCACGGCAGTACTGTCAGATGAAGTCAGGTCATGACTACTCTCTTCACTGTTGCTACTGTTGCTGGTGCTGCTCCTGGTTACACCAACAGGTGAAGAACCATTGCTGCTGCTTCCGTTGCTGGCAGTACTGCACACACTTCCCTCCACCTCATCTCCTTCCCCTTTCTTCTCCCCCTTCGTTACAGTCACATAGCCCTTTGAGCCATTTGTACGCTCCCTCTCTTCAGTCACTTCTTCTTTCCCCTCTGTGCCTGACCCGTCAATCCCCCGCAGCCGCATCATCTCAGCCAATGCGCTTGCGACAGCTGGCACCCATGTCTGAGAGATCTGGAGGCAGAACGGAAGGGAAAGGGATGGCAAAGGGCATATTTCGAGGAAAGGAAGACGAGTGAGGGAGGAGGCGACATGTATACAGCATCTAAGAAATTTGGTCGATGCATGTTCAGCTTCGATATTGCGCATGATAGATGCATGATAGATGCATGATAGATGCATGATAGATGCATGATAGATGCATGTAGATGCATGATAGATGCATGATAGATGCATGATAGATGCATGATAGATGCATGATAGATGCATGATAGATGCATGATAGATGCATGATAGATGCATGATAGATGCATGATAGATGCATGATAGATGCATGATAGATGCATGATAGATGCATGATAGATGCATGATAGATGCATGATCGATGCATGATCGATGCATGATCGATGCATGATCGATGCATGATCGATGCATGATAGATGCATGATAGATGCATGATAGATGCATGATAGATGCATGATAGATGCATGATAGATGCATGATAGATGCATGATAGATGCATGATAGATGCATGATAGATGCATGATAGATGCATGATAGATGCATGATAGATGCATGATAGATGCATGATAGATGCATGATAGATGCATGATAGATGCATGATAGATGCATGATAGATGCATGATAGATGCATGATAGATGCATGATAGATGCATGATAGATGCATGATAGATGCATGATCGATGCATGATCGATGCATGATCGATGCATGATCGATGCATGATCGATGCATGATAGATGCATGATAGATGCATGATAGATGCATGATAGATGCATGATAGATGCATGATAGATGCATGATAGATGCATGATAGATGCATGATAGATGCATGATAGATGCATGATAGATGCATGATAGATGCATGATAGATGCATGATAGATGCATGATAGATGCATGATAGATGCATGATAGATGCATGATAGATGCATGATAGATGCATGATAGATGCATGATAGATGCATGATAGATGCATGATAGATGCATGATAGATGCATGATAGATGCATGATAGATGCATGATAGATGCATGATTGATGCATGATTGATGCATGATTGATGCATGATTGATGCATGATAGATGCATGATTGATGCATGATAGATGCATGATAGATGCATGATAGATGCATGATAGATGCATGATAGATGCATGATAGATGCATGATAGATGCATGATAGATGCATGATAGATGCATGATAGATGCATGATAGATGCATGATAGATGCATGATAGATGCATGATAGATGCATGATAGATGCATGATAGATGCATGATAGATGCATGATAGATGCATGATAGATGCATGATAGATGCATGATAGATGCATGATAGATGCATGATAGATGCATGATAGATGCATGATAGATGCATGATAGATGCATGATTGATGCATGATTGATGCATGATTGATGCATGATTGATGCATGATAGATGCATGATAGATGCATGATAGATGCATGATAGATGCATGATAGATGCATGATAGATGCATGATAGATGCATGATAGATGCATGATAGATGCATGATTGATGCATGATTGATGCATGATTGATGCATGATAGATGCATGATAGATGCATGATAGATGCATGATAGATGCATGATTGATGCATGATTGATGCATGATAGATGCATGATAGATGCATGATAGATGCATGATAGATGCATGATAGATGCATGATAGATGCATGATAGATGCATGATAGATGCATGATAGATGCATGATAGATGCATGATAGATGCATGATAGATGCATGATAGATGCATGATTGATGCATGATTGATGCATGATTGATGCATGATAGATGCATGATAGATGCATGATAGATGCATGATAGATGCATGATAGATGCATGATAGATGCATGATAGATGCATGATTGATGCATGATAGATGCATGATAGATGCATGATAGATGCATGATAGATGCATGATAGATCCATGATAGATGCATGATAGATGCATGATAGATGCATGATAGATGCATGATAGATGCATGATAGATGCATGATAGATGCATGATAGATGCATGATAGATGCATGATAGATGCATGATAGATGCATGATACATGCATGATACATGCATGATACATGCATGATAGATGCATGATAGATGCATGATAGATGCATGATAGATGCATGATAGATGCATGATAGATGCATGATAGATGCATGATAGATGCATGATTGATGCATGATAGATGCATGATAGATGCATGATAGATGCATGATAGATGCATGATAGATGCATGATAGATGCATGATAGATGCATGATAGATGCATGATAGATGCATGATAGATGCATGATAGATGCATGATAGATGCATGATAGATGCATGATTGATGCATGATTGATGCATGATTGATGCATGATTGATGCATGATAGATGCATGATTGATGCATGATAGATGCATGATAGATGCATGATAGATGCATGATAGATGCATGATAGATGCATGATAGATGCATGATAGATGCATGATAGATGCATGATAGATGCATGATAGATGCATGATAGATGCATGATAGATGCATGATAGATGCATGATAGATGCATGATAGATGCATGATAGATGCATGATAGATGCATGATAGATGCATGATAGATGCATGATAGATGCATGATAGATGCATGATAGATGCATGATAGATGCATGATAGATGCATGATAGATGCATGATATTGATGCATGATTGATGCATGATAGATGCATGATAGATGCATGATAGATGCATGATAGATGCATGATAGATGCATGATAGATGCATGATAGATGCATGATAGATGCATGATAGATGCATGATAGATGCATGATAGATGCATGATAGATGCATGATTGATGCATGATTGATGCATGATTGATGCATGATTGATGCATGATAGATGCATGATAGATGCATGATAGATGCATGATAGATGCATGATAGATGCATGATAGATGCATGATAGATGCATGATAGATGCATGATAGATGCATGATAGATGCATGATAGATGCATGATAGATGCATGATAGATGCATGATAGATGCATGATAGATGCATGATAGATGCATGATAGATGCATGATAGATGCATGATAGATGCATGATAGATGCATGATAGATGCATGATAGATGCATGATAGATGCATGATAGATGCATGATAGATGCATGATAGATGCATGATAGATGCATGATAGATGCATGATTGATGCATGATTGATGCATGATTGATGCATGATTGATGCATGATAGATGCATGATAGATGCATGATAGATGCATGATAGATGCATGATAGATGCATGATAGATGCATGATAGATGCATGATAGATGCATGATAGATGCATGATTGATGCATGATTGATGCATGATTGATGCATGATAGATGCATGATAGATGCATGATAGATGCATGATAGATGCATGATTGATGCATGATTGATGCATGATAGATGCATGATAGATGCATGATAGATGCATGATAGATGCATGATAGATGCATGATAGATGCATGATAGATGCATGATAGATGCATGATAGATGCATGATAGATGCATGATAGATGCATGATAGATGCATGATAGATGCATGATTGATGCATGATTGATGCATGATTGATGCATGATAGATGCATGATAGATGCATGATAGATGCATGATAGATGCATGATAGATGCATGATAGATGCATGATAGATGCATGATAGATGCATGATAGATGCATGATAGATGCATGATAGATGCATGATAGATGCATGATAGATGCATGATAGATGCATGATAGATCCATGATAGATGCATGATAGATGCATGATAGATGCATGATAGATGCATGATAGATGCATGATAGATGCATGATAGATGCATGATAGATGCATGATAGATGCATGATAGATGCATGATAGATGCATGATACATGCATGATACATGCATGATACATGCATGATAGATGCATGATAGATGCATGATAGATGCATGATAGATGCATGATAGATGCATGATAGATGCATGATAGATGCATGATAGATGCATGATTGATGCATGATAGATGCATGATAGATGCATGATAGATGCATGATAGATGCATGATAGATGCATGATAGATGCATGATAGATGCATGATAGATGCATGATAGATGCATGATAGATGCATGATTGATGCATGATAGATGCATGATAGATGCATGATTGATGCATGATTGATGCATGATAGATGCATGATTGATGCATGATAGATGCATGATAGATGCATGATCGATGCATGATCGATAACACCGCATCTCTTTTTAGGAGAACGCCTTTTTTTCTTTTAGTGGATTTACAACCTCAGATTTACCTCTGACTTATCCACATTGTCCGAGTGGATGCTCCGTACTCCCCTTATAAGGCTATGTGCCGATGCCAGCACAGTCAACGGATTCCTGGCGGGATAAACAAAAGATACAAAGACAGGATCTCAGAGAAGGCACAAGATACATACGAAAGTATGTGGGAAAAAGTCGGTAAAGAGAAGGCAATTTATCCCCCTATAGTCAACTGTGTGTGTGTGAAGAGAGGGTCGCTCATTACCACACACACTGTGGTCCCTCATCCTCGTTAGAAATGTGCAACTGTCTCCCTACCCCCCATCCCCGAACCCTTCTCTTTCCCAAACCTCAAACCCGTGTGAGCAGTTCAGCTTGGCATCAGGAAAAGCAGCCATGCGTGAGGGCAGAGAGAAGAGGTGAGCCGGGCACGAGGATAAGGTGAGCGGGGTCGAGCCAGCGGGGGGCCTTGGGCCCTCGCCACTGCAGGTAATGCAGCTGCAGCTGCCACCGTTAACCTGACTCTTACCCCACCACCCCCTACCAGTTTCACCTCACCTGTGGGTGAAGATCAGATTGGCAGCAGGGAAGGCGGCCATGAGTGCAGGCAGAGAGAAGAGGTTAGCCGGGCACTTGAGCAGCCACCGGGGGGCTTTAGGGCTGCGCCGCTGCAGCTACTGCAGCTGCTTCCCATAACCCCTACCCACCCCTTCCCCTAGCCGTTATCCCCTAACCCAGCGCATTTTTCTCATCACCTCTCACCTGTGTGTGAAGATGAGTTTGGCGTCGGGAAAAGCGGTCATGAGCGCAGGTAGAGAGAAGAGGTGAGCTGGGCACTTGAGCAGCCACTGGGGGGCCTTGGGTCCGCACCATTGCAGGTACTGCAGCTGCTTCCCATAACCCCTAAATTTAAACCCACCCCTTCCCCTAGCCGTTATCCCCTACCCCAGCCCATTATCTCATCACCTCTCACCTGTGTGTGAAGATGAGTTTGGCATTGGAAAAAGCGGCCATGAGCGCAGGTAGAGAGAAGAGGTGAGCCGGGCACTTGAGCAGCCACCGGGGGGCCTTGGGTCCGCGCCACTGCAGGTACTGCAGCTGCCAGCGCAGGAGGCGGTAGGTGGGGGTGAGGTCTGCGGAGAGGTACCAGCGAAAGTAGGAAGGGATGTTGAAGTGGATGGTGGGGAAGGCGAATGACGTGAAATCGTACCTGGTGGGATAGGAGGGGAAGGGAGAAAAGACTGGGGGGGTTGAGCTTTAGAATCTTCACTCTCAATTCTGCGAAGGGAAGGAAGAAAGGGAGGAATAAGTATCGAGTTAACTTAACTGAGAAGCACGGGGGATGGGGCCAGTGGAGGGGCGGGTGGAGAAAGTGAGATGGAGAATTAATCGCATAATGACCTTCACAGAGGAAATGGCAAGAATCTGATATCAACTTGAAGAATCACATTAACAGGGGTCACAGATGTGGGTCACCAACACAACACAATGAGGCATGAGGGAAGTGGCCTCTCCTCACCTTAATAAACCCACCAGAACCACTCACTCCCACCGTAACACTCACTCCCACCGTAACACTCACTCCCACCGTAACACTCACTCACACCGTAACACTCACTCACACCGTAACACTCACTCACACCGTAACACTCACTCACACCGTAACTCTCACTCACACCGTAACACTCACTCACACCGTAACACTCACTCCCACCGTAACACTCACTCCCACCGTAACACTCACTCCCACCGTAACCTCACCGCCACTCACATCATGAGTCCCATGCACTCCTGTGGTCCTGTTGCTGTCACTGGGTGCAACGCCTGCAGGGGGGGGAATTGGATGGTGAGGGGTGCGGGACGGTGGGGGCCGGTGGGGGAAGGGTTGTAAGGGCAGTATGAGTCCGGTGCATTGACTTAGGAAAGAGCATCTGTTCGTATAACAAGCCAACTGGAATGTAGGAAGCAGAGTAACGCACCCACCCACAGCAGCACATCAGCACATCAGCAGCACATCAGCAGCACATCAGCACAGCGGCACAGCGGCACTACCCACCTGGAAGGAAGGAAGCATTGCGGAAACCGCTCCCAGGAAAGCTTCAGTGTCCCCGATGCGATTATCAGTGTCGTAGCAGGCGGCGTCCGGGGGAGGGTGCATGTGACGCACCTCCCATGCGAGTCAGAGGCGAGCGGAAGAGAAGAGAGAGCAATTCCCTTTGTGCGAAAAAGGAAAGGAAACCCACCTGGAAGGAAGGAAGGAAGCAGTGCGGACACCCCCTCCAAAAAGGCCTCAGTCTCCGCGATGCGTTTATCAGTGTCGTAGCAGGTGGCGTCTGGGGGAGGGTGCATGTGATGCACCTCCCATGTGAGCGGCGAGTAAAAGAGAGAACACTTCTATTCCCACAGCAGCGCCTTACCCACCTGGAAGGAAGGCAGCAGAGCAGACACCCCCTCCAGAAACGCCTCAGTCTCCCCAATGCGCTTGTCAGTATCGTAGCAGGTGGTGTCCGGGGGAGGGTGCATGTGATGCACCTCCCATGTGAGCGGCGAGCGGAAGAGCGATGTGTCGAGGGCGAGCAGGTTGAAGAGGAAGGTGGTGCCTGTGCGCGGCAGTCCCAATATGAACACCGGGGCCTGCTTATAACGGGGATAAGAGGGGCAAGGAAGGGAGGGGGGGGGAGGAGCGGAAGAGAGAAGTGTCGAGGGCGAGCAGGTTGAAGAGGAAGGTGGTGCCTGTTCGGGGCAGACCTAGGATGAATACAGGGGCCTGCTTATAGCGGGGATAGGAAGGGCAGGAGAGGGAAGCGGAAGAGTGATGTGTCGAGGGCGAGCAGGTTGAAGAGGAAAGTGGTGCCTGTGCGCGGCAGACCCAATATGAACACCGGGGCCTGCTTATAACGAGTATACGGGTGGCAAGGAAAGGGGGGGTGGGAGGGGGGGAGTGGAAGAGTGATGTGTCGAGGGCGAGGGGGTTGAAGAGGAAAGTGGTGCCTGTGCGCGGCAGACCCAATATGCACACCGGGGCCTGCTTATAACGGGGATAAGAGGGGCAAGGAAGGGAGGGGGGGGGGAGGAGCAGAAGAGAGAAGTGTCGAGGGCGAGCAGGTTGAAGAGGAAGGTGGTGCCTGTGCGCGGCAGACCCAATATGCACACTGGGGCCTGCTTATAGCGCGGATAAGAAGGGCAAGAAGGAGGGGGGGGGGGAGGGGGAGGGAAGAGAGAGGTGTCGAGGAGGTTGAAGAGGTAAATTGTTCCCGTGCGGGGCAGACCCAATATGAACACCAGCGCCTGCTTATAACGGGGATAAGAGGGGAAAGGAGAGGGAAGGGGGGGGGGGAAGGAAGAAGCGGAAGTGCGAGGTTTGGAGGGCAAGAGGAGGTTGAAGAGGAAGGTAAGGTTGTTCCCGTGCTCGGCAAGCCAAGGATGAATTCTGGGGCCTGCTTGTAAGGGGTACAACTTAATTGAGGAGAGGAGGAACCAGTAACACCCACCCTCGCCGCCACACACCTACCCACTCAACCACCCACCAGCTCTTCCAATTACCCAGACGCAACCACACACCCTCCCAAGCGCATGCACCCTTCCTCCCTCCACACGCACCTCAATCTTCTCCTCCTCTATCTCGGGGTGTTGCCTCCTTGTATCCTCCAGATGCAGCCGGTACCGCAGCAGGCGCTGGGGAGGGGGTGAGGGAAAGGGGGGAGGGGGGGAAAAGGGGGGGAGGAGGCGGAGGGGAAGGGAGAGGTGGAGGAGGAGGGGAGAGGGCAGAGAGTGCAATTCAATCTATGTATAATATCGTTCCACTGCACATAATTGACTGCACCCTGCTCGACATTACATATGCCAGTACACCATAAGATGGACCAGACAATTACTGTAGCAGTAATTGCTTGTATGCACAATCTACTGTACCTGTACATCGTTCCATATAAGAATCCTCCCAAACGCGCTCAGTCTCGCCTCCTCTTCGAGACCCTTCAATAGAAGCCGCAGCCCCGTCAGGAACGTCCCCTCGCCATAGTCACGCAGTCCCGTGGCCTTGTACGCGGCGCGCAGCACGGCGCGTTCCTCTAACGGGAGCAGCCACTGCAGCAGGCGCGTCGCGAGCGGCGGGAGGAAGAGGAAGCCGCAGAGCGCGTCGACGAGCCGCGTGGCGAAGTTGACGAAACGGGCGAAGAGGGGAAGGAGGTAACGACGCATGGCGAAGGATCGTGACGCGAGTGACCAGGAAATGGAACAACGACAACTACGGAGCGACGGGAAAGGAGCGACGGAGCGACGGGAAAGGAACGAGGAAACGACGGGAGCGACGGAAGCGACGGATTCAGAGCCTCCGATAAGAAAAACTCCCTCTCCGCTGCAAGCCAGTTTTTGAACCGCGCGTTCGCCTCCGCCTTTTGAGGCGTGTCAGCAAAACTTCGCCTCTGTGCCTCTGTCTCGATCGACTCTGTGCTAGGGTTCTTCAGAAAGTTTCGCCGGCCGGTGGCGACGCCGCGTCGTTCGCTGTCGTTCGCTGTGAGCAAGGCTCAATCGACACGACCATGCGTGGAGGGCTTAGTGGATCTGCTCAGTGTAACTCGTTCGGCTCGGTTAGGTTCAATTCGGTTCGATTCGGCTCGGAACCTCTCGGGCATGCGGGACGAGCCATCGGAACACACGATAGGTGTGACGAGACGAGGCGATGCCTCGAATTTACGGGGGTTCGGCTCGTTCGGCCAAGTTGGCAAGCCGATGACACGAGAACGGGTGACGAGGAGGGTTGTGGTGACGAGACGACGATGCTAAGAGCGTGTAGTGCAAAACGGTAGTGCATGAGCACGGACGGACCAGCAAGAAACATTCTTCGCGACTCGGTGGAGGAGGACATGCAATGCAACATTCGCGCCGCGCACACAAGAGCATGCATGATAATCTCCGCAACTATTTCGCCGAGCAAACACCAAATGCAGCTGATGCTCACCCCATGCGCGCGAATTTGCCTTGCGCCGGATGGACACGCTGCACCCGAGGTTGTTTCCCCAGCTTCATGCACCCACATTACAAGCGCGTCAAGCAGAAGAGACCGAAGTCAAGCAGAAGAGACTGAGGTCAAACTAGGTAACTAGGTAGCAGGGTCTTGTTTATAAGCACATGCGAATTCTTTTTAGCTAGCTGCGAAATTGACGAACTTATGCGAAACGCACGATACAGCTTATACGCCCCCTTCACAAGGCAACCGGGAGGGGCTCAATCAGGCATCAGTTTGTAATAACATCACAAGTCACTGACTTGACCTAGGCGACCTTGATTGGACACTGGGTCCGTACGTCTGCGGTATTAGCAAGCCTCAATCGAGTTTGGCAAAGAGCTTTACTGAGAATAATGGGGTGAGGAGCATATGGATACAAAACAAATCAGCCTTTCCTCCAAAGATCACCTACTACGGTATACACCAGCATCAGACAAGCCTTGGTCTCTGCCTATCAATTAGACTCGGGTCATGGACATGGCTAATATTCATCCACTTAACTAATGCAAACTGCAACGGCTCAGCAATCCCAAAATTCTTGTGGTAAAATAAATCTCTTACCTTTTTGGGTCCAACAGTTTTCCTAGGACAGCTTTTGAATCCCGGCCGCTTCTTGAAAATAGGCGAACTCTTCATAACGCCCAGATCGTTGCTGACATAGTTGAAGAATTTCGCCGAGCGGGACGTTACGTTGATGTGCCGATGCGTATTTAACTTGGGTGTGTTTGGCAGCTTCTCCACACAGTAACGGAAATTCATATCGGCATCTTGCACGTCGACCAACACCAGGTCGATGTAATTATTTGTGGGCAGCCCGCTGCACTTGCCTGTCTCGGTATCTTTCAAAGTGCCTGGTGCGTTTGTGTTACACTTCACCCCGTTAATAGATGTCTCGTTACAAATGCTCTTCATCCAAGGCCATTTCTGAAAGACAGGATTGCAACAAAGGAAAAAGAAGAAGAGAATACCAGTAACCGGAACAAACGAACAGAATAAAGGAAACAGAGTGGAGAGTAGTGAGGGTTTTCATAGATTGGATGGAATGTGGACTGGTAAACCTACTCAATAGAAGCAAACAGAGGAGAAGAGCACTGTTGTAGCACTTGGGGCATTTGCACACGGTGCTAAAAGATTAACGAGTTGGCTCATAAGGGGGCAATACCAGCTGAATCACAGTGTTGCCCGGGGTCCTTGAAGCGGTTGCACACCGTCCAGAAATATTACTGAGTTGCCCTATAAAGGGTAAATACCTGCTGAAACGCGGCAGTGCTGTTGTAATTGGCTCGCATGTGGTCCCAGTAGTTGCCGGGGTCTTTGGGGCAGTTGCAGACTGCTCTAGAACATCTTATGAGTTGGGTTATAAGGGGTACAAGACCCACCTGCTGAAACGCGGCAGTGCTGTAGTACTTGGCTCGCATGCGGTCCCAGTAGTTGCCCGGGTCTTTGAGGCAGTTGCAGATGGTGGCAGTGATGCACGCGCACCACCCTGGCGTGCCCTCCGTGCCTTTCATCACCACGTGCTCTATGCGGTTCCTGAGGAGGGAAGAGAGGGCGAAAGGGCAAGGGATGGTCATCATGCAGTAGGATATAGGGTGATCGAGTGGCAGTGATGCACGTGCACCACCCCGGCGTGCCTTCCGTGCCCTTCATCACCACGTGCTCTATGCGGTTCCTGAGGAGGGCAGGGGGGCAAGAGGAGCAAGCGATGGGAAACGCGGAAGAATGCAGGGGGACACAATGCCAGTCCAGTGCCTTTCTTCACTACATGAAAGATATGGCTCCTATGGAGGGAAGAGCAACTGATGGGAAGCACAGAAGAATATAAGGGGACACGACACCCCTGACTCCCATTACCCATTGCTGACACACCACTCCCCATTGCTGACTCACCATTCCCCATTGCTGACTCACCATTCCCCATTGCTGACTCACCATTCCCCATTGCTGACTCACCATTCCCCATTGCCGACTCACCATTTCCCGTTGTTGACCTTCATGCCATCCACTGTCCCGATACAAGCCCCTCCGCGTATAGTCACACCCGAGCTGGCATAGTCCAGGTAGTAGCAGTGGTCACCCCCGATTATGTAGTTGCACTCCGCCAAATTACCCGGGTTAATCCAGTGCGTTACGAAGTATATCCCTGTGGCGTCCCAACCCCCTGTGAGGTTCCGGCCTGCTGCCACAACGAGGTTGTTGGAGATGGTGCTGAGCATGCAGTCTCCCTGGGAGGGTAGTAGTTGGGAGAGGATGGGCGAGGAGAGGAAGTGGTAAAGTTGCGAATGGGGGTTGTAACTGTGAATGTGGTTTCTGGCCCTTGCCAGCAACGAGGTTGTTGGCGATGGTGCTGAGCATGCAGTCGCCCTGGGAGGGAGGATGGGAGAGGATGGGGGGGGATGGAAGGGAGGGAGTGGGGGGTGTTGAGCTTCCGGCCTGCTGCCCCAACGAGGTCGTAGATATGGTGCTGAGCATGCAGTCTCCCTGGGAAGTTGGGGGGACGAACGAGGGGAAAGGGGCACGTGGGGAGGAGGGGGAATGAGGCGGTTGAAGACGTTCCGTCCTGCGGCAACAACGAGGCTGTTGGATATGATGCTGGCTGAGATATGTAGCATAGGACTTGATAGCTTGGATATGCTGCTCAGCAACGAGGCTGTTGGATATGCTGCTCAGCAACGAGGTTGTTGGATATGCTGCTCAGCAACGAGGTTGTTGGATATGCTGCTCAGCAACGAGGCTGTTGGATATGCTGCTCAGCAACGAGGTTGTTGGATATGCTGCTCAGCAACGAGGTTGTTGGATATGCTGCTCAGCAACGAGGTTGTTGGATATGCTGCTCAGCAACGAGGCTGTTGGATATGCTGCTCAGCATGCAGTCGCCCTGTGATGGGAGGGAGGCGGGACAGGATGGGCCAGGAGGGGATGGGAGGGAGAGGGGGGGTTATTGAGGTTGCTTGTGATGATGCTCAGCATGCAGTCGCCCTGTGGAAGAGGAGGGGAAACGAACGGGGGCAAGGGGAAGAGGGAGAATGAGAGGGTGAACGAGGTTGCTTGAGATGATGCTCAGCATGCAGTCGCCCTGAGAGAAGAGCTGTTTTTGAGGCGCCTCAAAAGATGATGCTCAGCATGCAGTCGCCCTGAGAGAAGGGCTTTTTCTGCCTGTGGCCTCACGTGGTGGTTCCAAGTCAACCACCACGTGAGGAGACAGGCACGAGCAGCATCCCTCACTTCACTTCCCACACACGCGACTTTTGAGGCGCCTCAAAAGAACCTCGTGGCTGTTCCTGCCTGTCCTGTCGCCTCACGTGGTGGTTACAAGTCAACCACGTGAGGAGACAGGCACGAGCAGCATCCCTCACTTGCCACATGGCCACCGCCCCGTACCTGAACTGAACCTTCCATGCACCTTCCCTCACCTGTGAGTGCACTATATCGCTGCACGTGATTGCAGCAAGCACGAAGTCATGCACGTGGTTGTTCTTACCCACCGAGTCATGCACGTGGTTGTTCTTACCCACCGAGTCATGCACGTGGTTGTTCTTACCCACCGCCCCCACCGTGCCAGGTGTGTTTTGAGTCGACAATAAAACACCTTCCCTCACCTGCGAGTGAACCATACTGCCGAATGTGGGGCAGCAAACACGAAGTCGTGCGCTTAGTTGTTCTTAACCACTACCATCCTTTGACTAGAATATAAAAACAAAATAACCTTCCCTCACCTGCTAGTGCACCTTGTTCTGAGGCGCCTCAAAACCCTTCCCTCACCTGCGAGTGAACTATGTTGCCGCACGTGATAGCAGCAAACACATAGTCGTGTGGTGTGGTGCATATAGTTGTTCCCGGTCACTGCTCCCCACAACACCACACTGGAGCATCACTGGCAGCTAGGCACCTCACCTGCGATTGCACCATGTTTCCACACGTGATGGCAGCATCACCAAGTCATGCACGTAGTTGGGTCGACTGCATGTTCTTGACCACTGCTCTCACCGTGCACAGGTGTGTTTTGGGTCGACTCGCAACTTCCCTCACCTGCGAGTGCACCATGTTGCCACACGTGATTCCAGCAAACACGAAGTTGTGCACGTGGTTGGCTTAACCACTGCTCTGCTCCCACCTTAACCATTGAGACTTCTCAAAAGCGACGCACCTGTGAGTGCACCATGTTGCCGCACGTGATTCCAGCAAACACGAAGTCGTGCACGTAGTTGTTCCTCACGACCACGCCCACCGCTCCCACGTGTAACAGCACTGGCATGTACGCGCCTGGGGGGTGTGGAGATAGGCAGAAAGGGATGGAGAGGTGTGGAAAGGGATGGAGAGGGGTTGATGAGTGGAGTGCACAAAGAGTTGCAGCCCACATATGGTCATGCACATGAATGTTGTGAGCACTGCCTTTATAGCGCCAAGGGTTGCCATACTGCATCGCATCACACCACAACACGCCACACCACACCAGTTCACACCACAACAGACCGCACCACACCACACCACACGTACGGTAGATATCTTATTTGTCATGTACACGTGGCAGCACACCACCAGGCGTCCGTACCTCGACGGCATGGCCTGTGATTGGTGGTGTACACGTGGCAGCAAGCAAGAGGTACCAAACAGCACCGCACCGCACCACACCACGCTACACCGCACCCCACCCCACCCCATTAGATCAACGTCGCCTACCAAGGATCTCAATATTGGTGATGTACACGTGACAGCGCACCAGCGGGGGCCCGTGCGCCACCAAGCAAGCAAGCTAGGGTATGGCACACCATGCCATACTGTGTTGTGTAACTAAACACCCGCAGAGCATAGATCTCATTGTTGGTGATGTAGACGTATGCGCGAACCGGCAGGGGGGCATACCCAGACAGCAGACACACATGATTGGTGCTGCACACGTGGAAACAAACACGAGGTACCACACCACACCACACCACACCACACCACACCACACCCCATCAAACCCACCCACCATAGACCTCATTGTTGGTGATGTAGATGTAAGCCCGCACCAGCAGCGGCCCATACCCCGACAGCATCACTCGGATCACTCCGTTGCCCCTCTTGAAGTCGGACACGCCTGTCATCCTCATCGAGTCAATGCGGCTGTGCATGGTCCGCATTATGTCCACCCGGCCAAACGTGTAGCCCTGGGGGGGGGAAGGGGGTCAAGGAAGGAAGCATTAGTGAGTCAGCTGCCCCTCTTGAAACCAGACACGCCTGTCATTCTCATAGGATCGATGAGGATGAGGGGGCGCCATGGTTGGAACGCCATAGGAGCACTATAATCCTCTGTACTCATTACTAGCAGACTCACTTTAACGATCTGAACGCCGTAGGAGCGGTAGACGTGGATGAGAGGGCAGATGATGTCTGTTCCCACTTCGGGAATCTCCTTGGGGCATGCCTGTGAGTAGGCTCGGAATGGCTGTGACATCTGAATGTGGGTGAAAATGGGAGAGAGGAGGAAAGAAAGGAATAAGAGAGGGGGAGGAGGTGGGGTATGTGTGGATGAGAGGGCAGATGAAGTCCTTTCGACCTGCATGCTATGCTATCTCCGACCCTGCAGGGGACATAGCATAGCACATCAGCCTCACCTGCACACGATGCACAATCATGTTGCTGGTGTTCCACACGCGCAGCAGCGGCTCATCCACCCGATGCACGTACAGCCTATACCCCCTCTTTTTGTGTTACCCAGATGCCACAGCAAACAGCAGCGCACGTTGCACCACCGCACAGCACCACACAGCACCCCACACCACCTCATACCGCATCACCACACCACACAGCACCGCACACCACCTCATACCGCATCACCACACCACACAGCACTGCACAGCACCCCTCTCAACTCACCTGCACGCGCTGAACAATCACATTGCTGGTGTACCACACGCGCAGCAGCGGCTCATCCACCCGATGCACGTACAGCCTATACCCCCTCTTTTTGTGTTACCCAGATGCCACAGCAAACAGCAGCGCACGTTGCACCACCGCACAGCACCACACAGCACCGCACACCACCTCATACCGCATCACCACACCACACAGCACTGCACAGCACCCCTCTCAACTCACCTGCACGCGCTGAACAATCACATTGCTGGTGTTCCATACACGCAGCAGCGGCTCATCCACCCGATGCACGTTCAGCCGATACCCCCTCCCTTTCACCCACATACCATAGCACCACTCCACACCGCACACCACTGCACTGGTCCACACTGCACCACACCACACTGCACCGCTCTCACCTGCACGCGCTGCACAATCACATTGCTGGTGTTCCACAATCTCAGCAGCGGCTCATCCACCCGATGCAAGTACAGCCGATACCCCCTCCCTTTGGTCCCCGCGCTCGATCGCAGCACCGTGCACGCATACTCAGGACCAAACAGTAGGCCTCGGTTCAGAGTCAGGTGGGTTTGAAGCTCCAGAACAACGGTGGTGGAGGGGGGGTGCCTGGTGCGCTTGATGAAATCGGCCTCCTTGGTCACGCGGATGTGCACGGCTGAGGCCAGGGGGGAGCACGCGGATCCTCCTGCAAAGGGAGGGGGGAAGAAGGGTGGGGGAAGAGGAGGTATGTGTGAATCGGCCTGAAGAAAATGGCTTCATTGCAGCACCGTGCACGCATACTCCGGACCAAACAGCAGCCCGCGGGTGAGAATGAGGTGGTTCTGAAGCTCCAGAATGACCGTGGTGGAAGGGAGGGGTGTCTGTCTGGTGCGCCTGCTGAAGTGAGACTCTTTCGTCACTCGGATGAGCACGGCTGAGGCCAAGGGGGAACACGCTGAGGCCAAGTGGGGGGAACACGCTGAGGCCAAGGGGGAACACGCTGAGGCCAAGTGGGGGGAACACGCTGAGGCCAAGGGGGAACACGCTGAGGCCAAGGGGGAACACGCTGAGGCCAAGGGGGAACACGCTGAGGCCAAGGGGGAACATGCTGAGGCCAAGGGGGAACACGCTGATCCGGCGTGATGGGGCCGATATCAGCATATTTGAGTGTATATGTGCGTGTCAGCTTGTATGTATTCGCATGTATCAGTCCCCACGCACCTCTCTGAGCAGGTTAACGTGTGATGTACTCGTTATGGAATGCTTTCACACCAGGCATGTGTACGGACGGTGTTTTAGGGAACTCTCAGGGTGCATATGAAACATGAAATGACAGCTCCCAGGGGGTACAGTACAGTACAGCTTTCAGTCTCACCTTGCTTAGCAGCAGTAGCAGCCGCAGGATCCGAAGTAAGATCATAAGGGTGAGGTTCGGCAGCAGAGTTCGGCTCGGCAGCAAGCAACGCTGCAGGTACGGGACGAGCCTCCTGCGCCATGGATGCGTCCAACCAAGCCATTGTTGCAGGCTCGGACCGAACCTGCTGCTTCAGCCATGGATTCATCCACTCCTGAGGCTCGGCCCATCGCAGAGACTGTGACTGTACCTGTGCCTGTGCCTGTGATTGTGATTCTGACTGCGATTGTGACTGTGCATGTAAGTGTGAATGTGCATGTGTGTGGTGTGACAGTAGGGAAGGTAACTCTGACTGTGACTCTACTTGCACAGGTTGTGAACTGTCCGTAGCGGATCTGTAACCATCCTCGTTACTGGCTGATCTCGCTAATTCGGTACTATAGCTATTCCGATGCCACACACTACGCGGATGCAGGTGGTACAGCGACGAGTGGCGGGATGGCTCGTGAAATGCGCTCCTGTGAGCTGTGATAAGGGCGAGGAGGGGAATGAATGGATGAACAAAAGTGATCCGAAATGAGCATTCTAGCTGGCTCTCGCAAAACTCTCGCATCCTCTGCAAGCATTGCCTTCTGAAAAAGCTATCTGCTTGGAATCTGAGATAGCTATATCCGGCCATTCACTGCACTCTCAGCATCTGACCATTCACCTGCGGCTCGGGCTTGCGCCATATGCGAACGCTGACTGAGAATGCAGAGCGCGAGGACGATTGCACGCAGGCTCAGCTTCGAAACGATCACTTCTGGTATCAGCTTCGTCCACCACGTTCCCCCGCGGCAGTTGCACTTGCGGAGTTCTGATAACAGAATTCTCCGCCGCCTCGTGCGAACCTGGCGAAGACAAGCGCGATTTGTGTTACCCGACGAATCTTTATCACCACCCGTCCGATCATGACGGCCGCTGAATTGACTCTGAGGTCGCTTCTTGCTACCACTGCTACGCGTTGAGAGTCTTCGTACGCTTCTTGATCGGCCAATCATCTCGGTCTGGCTTTAGCGACCGAGCCTGATAAGCTGATTTGGAATCCGAGCCTTATTATACGACTTAAACTTCACCCCGAGTGGGGTTGGTTGACTGATAACAACGAGTGGAGACTGGCAGTTGGCTCGCTCTGATTCAGCTCATTCGCTGGTGTAGAGAGCTTCGATTCTAACTCAGGTAGAGTTTGTCTTGCATAAAATTTCTTGCTTTTTGATGCACGAGCACTCGTTTGGACAATTCAACTGTCTAGAAAATAAAAGGACGGCGCGTCATACGCCTACTACGAGTCTAGCATGACGTACGACTCAGAAGCGAAATCAGCCATTCCGACTGAGTCGACTCAAAATTCAACTTGTTTGGAACCGCGAAACTTGACCAACCGTAACCGTATCCTTTCCGGAGGTTACTGCTCGTAGCCTTGATCGAGTCTCAAATGTAGGCGAGATTAGTCGTCTTTCTCGATCCACACCGTCCACATAAGGCCAGTCGAGCAAGTGATTCATGGGGTTCGCGCCTGGATTCAGGACTTTTGAAGAGGAATAATTGCCAGGCATTGTTGCAACAGGAGCGTGCTAAAATAAGCTGCAACACGACAGGGATGTGCGTGTGTCGGCTTGGAACGGTAATGAATGACCACCTTAGGTCTGTCATTCCCGTTATCTCGCAAATGTCATTTGGATGAAACACAACATGCCTCCAGCAAGGCAGAAATGGGATCTCACAACAAAGCTTTGGCGGCGAACGCTTGAACTGTTACCCGAACACTAGAGTACACCACGCTACTGCGCGATCTCGGTCGTGTGCTTTTGCGAAAGACATCGGTGGCAAGACGGAATGTGGATCTGCTGTACACGAATAGTGACGATCAGGGCTAGTTCGTCTCTCACAACCACACACAAGGGCAATGCACATCACTGAGGGAGGGATGGCAGGGTGGGCGGATCGAGCCTCTGCTTGCAGGGCTGCCTCATGGCGTCAGGTGGTAGGCACGTGGTGAAGCCTGTGGTTTGTCCTGCGAACCGCCATGCCAGCACATACGGTTCAATACAAGCGCTGTTGAACATGTCACAGACATTACAACTCGTCCACCAATTTTGCACCACATAGCAAAAAGCAAGGCAAACACTGTACCATAGAAGACACCCACCATAATTTTTTTTGCTCTTGAAGACAATGCCTCCACCTACGGTAATTTTTTAATCATCCACATCCACACCATAAACAAGCTATTTTATTTTGCTTCCAGTGTCCTGGTCCTGGATCTTGACATGCTGACTGAATGTCAAGGTCCATCCAGCATTCGGGCTTGCTCCATGCTTGATCAATATGGATTGAATGCACAGGACACAACAGGGACCACTACAGACACAGGCCATAACTGGAGCATACTTCTCCATTTTGCAATGGGTAAGGCCATCCGCGATAAAAGGTGCGGGCCAACCTGCTCATAGACTTGCAGGTTAGCATGGCCAATGGAATACAAGCATTGGACGACATTCATCTGGAAGACTCGCTACTCAATGTCAAGAAAATCCATCTGCTTCCGCAACATTCCTTTGAGCTCGGATGCCTCTTTTTCCTCTTTCTGGGCCTACAAAAAGCAGGAAAGGAGACTTCGTGTCATGCAAACAATACACTAAAGCTTAACGTGGCAAGCAGATTATGAGGGCTTCACATACCTGTCGAATCTGTTGTAACGAAACGGAGACCATATTAGGAGGCATTTCTGGCATGTGCTCGTCCTGAAAAGGCATACCGTAAATCACAATCAGCGAAATAACTTCAACCAAGAACGAAGAACAAGAGCCTCGTGAATCAGACCAACTTACAAGTGTGCCTATGAGAACGACGTTCTCTCCTCGGATAATGTACAGTCCCAGAGGCAGGTCGCAGTATTGCTCGCCGACAACAATCCGCTCAGTCGTACGCTCCAGGACAAGATTAGCTGCGCACATAACCCAGCAACATCGATAAGTTCGGTGGAACTGCATACGATAACGTAAGCTTAGGAATGACCTGAGTGCCACGTACCGAATTGGTCGAAAGAGCGCAGGATACCGATTATTTTACGTCCATCTCTAAGAACAACGAGTAGTTTCTCTGCCGACACAAACGTCAGAAATCGTCAATTAAGGACTCCCGTAAGTTAGAATTATCGGCCAAGGCGAGGTGCTTACTGTCTAGCTCCTCAACAAGGCTCGATGTCCCAGGCAGAAATGGCAACCCAGCCCACGACATGCCCAGGAGTTGTCGCCGCTGCTACGATCCGTGGCTGATTACTTCAGCCGCTAACTAAGTGAACGGCAACCATTGAGCGAAGGGGAGATTAGTGGGCAGAATGGTAAGCGACACGGTTCGCGGGTAACGAACGAAGAAGGATCACAGGAACCCTAGTTCTGATTCCAAATGTATGAATGTTCGCGGGTACACGTTGCACTTGAAGCCGGTACAGAGAAATACAAAGTGAACTGTATACACAAGAACTGAACTGGAGAATGGGAAAACAAGGCAACTGTTACGGGTGCAATGAATCGAGGTAGCGAGAATTGCACTAAGGTGTCAAACGAGTACAAAATGTGAGCGAAGGCATGAGCGAGCATTTATACGCGAAACATGCAAAACGGTAACGCGGTGCGTGCGAACTTGCTAGTGCTACGCTGGAGCGAGGCTCGGGCTAGTCCCGAAGCGTAGGCCGATACGGCCATGCCAGCAGTGCGAGGTTTGGCAAAACAGTGCGCGCGAAGTCGGCGATGTAGTCGGCTCCGTAAGGAATGCCTGAGAAAATTCCTTACACTACCCCCCCCCCTTAAGAAGCCCCCTCCGCTACGCGAGTGCGTGTATATCGCGGAATCCCCGGCTTCTCAAGTACACTTGCAGGGCAGGGTGATTTTCGATGTTGCTCAGGGGCACCCAACTATCTTCAGTTGGCGTGCGGTCTTTCCAGCGAACGAGGAATTCAATCCTCCTGATTCCCGTGGGGTGGCGGATCCGATGGCTCAAAAATTTTTCGGGCTCGATGATCGGCTCTGATGCAGGGCGAGTCATTGATTGTGGCCGGTGACGCGGCAGTTGACTCGTGGTCGGGATGTATGGGCGAAGTAGGCTGACGTGGAACGAAGGGCTGAATTACCAGTCAATTGGCAACAGTAGGTGCGCGGTGACGGGTGTGATCATGTGGCTGATTTGGAATGGTCCACAGTAGCGCGGTCGTAATTTTGGTACGTCGGGCAGTCGCAGATTTTGCGTGTCGAGTAGCACGTAATCTCCAGATTGATACGTGACGGGGCGGCGGTGGCGATCAGCGTTGCGCTTAGCGATGACGTTGGCCTTTTTTATTGCTTCGGCGGCTCTGGCGCGGGCAGCTTGCAGGATTTCGGCGAATTGTTGTGCGCGTGGCGTTGGGTTGTCCGGACTCGGCGTCATGGGCACTGTGGGGTTCTGCCCATAGTTCAGGTAGAACGGGGACTGCTGCGTCGTTGCTGATGTGGCGTTGTTGTACGCGAACTCGATCAGCGGCAGCTGCTGCTCCCAGGTCGTGGGGTCGTCGCACGTGGCACGAATCAACTGCTCCATCGTCTGATTCGTCCGCTCCGTTTGGCCGTCGGTCTCGGGGTGGTACGACGAACTGAACTGTAGCCTGGTCCCGAACTGCTCCCAGAGGTTCTTCCAGAAGTTGCTGGTAAACTTCGTGTCCCTGTCGCTGATAATTGCTGCTGGTATCCCGTGCAGGCGAACAACGGCTGCGATGAACAGGCGAGCGGTCTCT